AGAGACAATGAATGAGATGCAGAACAAATACACATCATCACGTCCAGACACATGGCTTTTAGAAGGTAAAGGGATTGTGTTGTAATACATCATCAGACTCTGAGAATTGTATATAAACGCGAAAGTAAAAGAAAAGAAGAAAATATGTTGAGAAGCAAGGGAACAATATTCTTAGAAAGACCTCTCAAGTATCAGGGTCTCACCTTAAAGACATACCTGATGCATGGTGAGGGTAGTTTTCGCAGAGCTGTCAACATTTCTTTAAAACAAATTCCTCGGATGGATTTAAACCAAATCTCGTTAAATTGCGCGGGAAATCCTGTTCTCCACCCCCTCTATCTCTCTAACTCGGTCTCTAACTCTAGCTATCCATCTCTCTTCGTCTCCCTGTTTTTCTTACCGCTTTTTATATTTTCTCTCCTCCCTCTTTCTCTCATATATGTGTTGTCTCACTCACTTTGTCTCTCTGACAATTATATAGGTACGTTATTTCCCTCTCTTCATCGTGTCACGACCCCCCCCCCCCCTTCGCCCCTCTTTTATTGTTATTTCTCCGACTCCTCTCTTCTCTTTCTATCTTCCTGTCTCCTATCTGTTTCTCTCTTCTTTTCTCATCTCCCCTTGTCACTATATATCTTGTACAAGATATGTCTTTTATTAAAACTCCTCACTTCACATGAATTGGCTTTCGTGTCTACACTTCCCTCGGAACGCCAAGCTGCTTGTTACCGTTTACAATACTTTACTTCGGTTATCTTCCAGTCTTGCTTTGTTACTCTACAATTTCATATGAATAGGAATTAAAGTTATGTGAATGTAGAACAAATAAACGTCAAACTTCACTTCCACCCCCCCCTCTCTCTCTCTTTCTTCTTTTTTCTCTCTCTCTCTCTCTCTCTTTCTACTTCTCTATCTCTTTCTCCTTCTCTCTCTCTCCCACACCATTCACTGCTTGGGAGGATTAGTGACAGGCGCGTTGTTCACATATAATAATAATAATAATAATAACAATATAATTTTATAAAGCGCAACATATCCATCTCTAGAGATGATCGAGGAGCATTATAGACCATGTTTCTAGTCCAATCAACCTTCATGATTTGCACTTCGCGTTTCACACTTCATGCTTATGTTTACTTTATTTCCCTTGTCTCGCCCTCAAGCTTTCCCTCCCTCTTTCTCCTCCCCCCCCCTCTCTCTCTCTCTCTCTCAAGCACACTCTCTCAAACGCGCTCTCTATCTTCCTCCCTGTCTTCCATGATATCCCTCTCTTTCCCTCTCTTTCGTTCTCTCTCTATCTAATTTACATCAAATTTGTTATTGATAAGTTATTTTCTTCTTCCATATTCTTCATTCTTTAATTATCCTCATCCTTCCCTTTCATTTGTCCTCTACCTCTCAATCACTTTGCTTCGTGTTTCACTTTCTACCTACATCCTCTCACATTCTCCTTACCATCATTCACCTTCATCTCTTCCTTTTATTTCTGTATTTTCCTAAATATCTTACCCAATATTCTCCAGCTGTCAGTATCTCTCCCCATTTCACTTTTTTTTATTTATAAGTTATAAAAATGTTACTCTCTTGCTTTTAAATAGATATGTGTGCTTTCATTTATTGTTAATATTTCCACTCTACTGTAAATTCTACATTAGGATTGTATGTTATGTATCTTACTTCTGTTTATATTAATTCAGTTGTTATTACCCAGGGCCCTCTAGGACAGCAGTTTTCAAATTAAAAAGCACCACTGTTTAAATAAAACTGAGTTTAAATAATAATATCTCTCTTGCTCTCCCTCTCTCTCCATTTCCCTCTCACTCTCTCTATCTCTCTTTCTCTCTAGCTCGCACTTTCTACTCCAATATAAACCTGAAGTGCAGGATGTCGTACTTCCTTAAATAATGTTGCCATTATTTATTAGCAATATTGCAATTCGCTAACAATTTCAAGTAGTGTCCCATTAAACATTAACCAAATTTACATATATTGAATTTATTCTATCAAGAGCACAACAGAAGGCAGTGCACAGACATGAATTGAGCTCCTTCTGCTTGGATGCTTGCAATCAAACGGGTATAAACAACAATTCTAGAGGGCGACAAACCATTACATACATATTGTGCACATACCTCTGTGAATATCATTATGAACACAGGGCTGACTAGTAGTTTTTGAAAGACCAGCTTCGTGCCAGGTTTACTTCAGTTTAATATATTGGTTATGCACAAACATACAATACACTCTATGTATTATTGCCATTATTGATTTGAATTGGAAGCGAATTTATTTCCGTATAAAAAGAAGTACAGTATTCGAAACATTACACATTATGTACACATACTAAAAAGGGATAAACGGCTGGATGGCCCTACTCAGCATACACCAACATGGTGGCGCTGTTCCACCAAGGGGTCCAGAATATGATACAAATATATAGAAATATGATATCGAAAGTCACTAAACACAAATTAATAATTAAACAAACATACATATATTACAATTAAATTTGAAGTACAAAAAGTAACACCCTAAGTTCACCCTTAAAATGTATTAAAGGCAACATCCTAAAATTACACTTAAAAGCAACACCCTGTACTAGGCAAGCATCAGCCAAGAAAGAAAAAACAACAAGAACGAGGTTGTGAAATGAATAATTGGGGGGGGGGGTGCATATTATTAAGGGATTATTTCTTTAAAAAAATAGTTAAACTCGTTGAGTGATTGAACATAGGAGGTCAAAAATTAAACAACTAGATAAACTAGTAGGCCTATGCCATCGACTTGAAATAAACTTGTAATTAATTAATGTAAACGAAATCGCGGATTGCATGTATTAGGATCACAAATAAGAATAAGGACAGTGGTTGTGAATAACAAATGACAAACGTATATAATTAAAGATTTACACAAATAATTTTTCGTAGCTATACATGTGCATGACACATTAAAAAGGAAAGAGAAAACACGCAATAGTTAGAGCCAACAAAGCCCAGTAAAATGCATTACATAATAATATAAAAGGAAACTACATTGTTTGAACAAAAAAACGTAATGCCACGATATTATTAATATAAAAATTAGGGTATTGCACCATTACATTTCCCTATGACATGACTATAATGGCAAAGTCATGATCAACTGACAGTGATGTCCCTTTAATAACAATAATAATAATATGTATTGTTACCCGGGGTAGCCTCATCAGTATTCATACTGTTCTCCCTGAGGGCCCTGCAATCATAATTATTATTAACCCGGTTATCGGATTCAGGCTTACCCGCACACAATGTATGCACATTCTCCACTCCCTGGAGAGCATTCCAGCCAGGCGTCATTTTTACAAGCGCACACTTGCTAATCTAACCACATTAGCTTTCGCATCCTACCGGGTACCCATTCAACACCTGGGTGGAGAGTGGCAAATGTAGATCAATGTCTTGCCAAAGGACATTAGTGCTGCGGTGGGACTTGAACCGCGGACCTTGTGATCCACAGTCCCGTGACATGATAAAGACATGATAATACCATAGTAACGTCAAAGGAAAGATAACACATATGTCAAAGTGATTTAACAATAAAAAACAGGCAAAGATAACGCCACAGCAAAATCACCATCAGTATAATTGCATGGTTTTACCACATTATTTTCACAATATAACAAATTAACGTGCTATAGTACAGTCAGAGTAAAGACGTCATAGAGACCACAATTATATTACATTTAGGACATTGTTTTGTCACAGTATTGTAATACTTCAGACATGATAATAAATTAACATTATTCCCAAATGTTGCAGATGTTTCATAAGTAAGATATGATACTACATACCGGCTTGTGGTGATTATATGCTTAGTACATGTGCGGTAGCGAGACACATGTTCCTGTAACAATGGCTCCACGATAATTTCCCCATACTAACGGAATTATTCAAGTGACCCTCAATATTACACTATACACGTACTTAACCCTCACCCTAACATTCCCAAAATATCTCTATTGTTCAATGATTACTCTTAATGTTTGATTTATTGTTATAAATGGTACTGAATAGAGTAAACCTTGACTAGCTCTAGATATTTGTTGGCACCAATCACCAAATGTGTAATATTTGTCATGCTGAAATATAATGTTACTTAAATTTTGTTTGGGTAACAAAAACAAAACGAATGAAGAAAACAAATCATCATTATCGAACTCATCGAAAATGACATGCTAATACTTTTTGGATTCAAGGCTGGTCATTGAATTTATCATAAATCTCGTTCTTAGACTCTTCATCTGAATGAAAATCGGAATCTTAATTTCTGCTCATCATAGGACTTTTCATCAGACTCATCATCAGACTCCTCATCGAAATCTTTATCAGACCTGGGTTACCGAACTCATTGTAAAACCCGTCACCAAACTCGACATCTGAATGATCACCAGACTCTTCATTTTACCATGACATCGGACTCGCCAGGAGCACGCTGAGAATCATCATCCAACTCGTCACCTGACTCATCATCCAACCCGTCACCGACTCATCATCCAACTCGTCACCTGACTCATCATCCAACTCGTCACCTGACTCGACATCCAACTCGTCACATGACTCATCATCCAACCCGTCACCTGACTCGATATGTGAATGATCACCAGACTCTTCAGTTTACCATGACATCGGACTCGCCAGGCGCTGAGAATCATCATCCAACCCGTCACCTGACTCATAATCCAACTCATCACCTGACTCATCATCCAACCCGTCACCTGACTCATCATCTAACCCGTCACCTGACTCGACATCCAACTCGTCACCTGACTCATCATCCAACTCATCACCTGACTCATCATCCAACCCTTGGTGAATTTCAGCGCAAACCTGGCTGCACATGCATGCTGCTTTAAGGCACATCTACGTCAATACTGATGAGAAGTGTCTCTATTCAGGGCAATTTCTTTTTTTTTATAATAACATAACTTCAGTTCCATAAAAGACAATAACATAATTCAGTTCCATAAAAGATAATAACATCGTTTCCAGAATACAGGCCAAGGTGTTCGAGGTCTCTGTGGAGTCTGTGCTCATATTTCCTCATTCAACTTTCATTTTCCATGGACTCCAGTCCGAGCTTTTATATTTTTAATGGGCTAAAACATGGAATCCACTTTCTGCCAATGTTTGCCAACGCTTTCATGACTGTATATCATAATTGGCTTACTCTAATGTAAAGTCTCCACCTCAACTCTGAAGACGTTCTCGTTGTTGATTTTATCTCTGATGGCAAGCAGTTCGTCCCAGCCATCAATCTCCATAGACTCCCAACTCGTCAGAACTCTGGGAGATAAACATAGTCTTGTAAGTGAATCTAGTTAACTTACTTAGACGTTGTGAATTCGTTAATGCAATTGCACATGAGTTTATGAAAGATGCAAACTATTGATTTCTATGGAAAGTAAATTTTGAAGTGATCTTAATTGAATACTACACATTAATAATAATAATAGTTCGTTCTTTTATAGCGCATTTCAGGACCGAAGGCCCTCCCAAAGCGCTTTACAATGTACAATGTACGTTTACATAATAATTACTCGAAGCATTCATCAAATAGGTGAGTTTTCAGCGCTCTCTTAAAAACTTCAACATCAGTCATGGAGCATAGCGACATTGGGAGAGCGTTCCAAAGTTTTGGTCCACCACATGCAAATGCCCTGTCACCATAGGTTTTTGTGGCTCCATGATTGAGGGTGAGAAGGTGTTGAGAAGATGACCGCAAACGCCTTGGTGGGATGCACGGTGTGAGCAAATCTGAGATGTACTCTGGACACATGCCATGGAGAGCTTTGAAAATGATCAGAATCACCTTAATTGTAGCGGATCCGTAATATTTGCAGGATAGTTAATCACTATCCACTCCCTTTCCCAATCGATTTATTTTTTCTCTCTCTTTGTTGAAATGTATCTTGCTGCCGGCTTCCTCTCTAACATTTTTTGTTCAGTTTCTAATGTTTTCCTTATGTGTATGGTTCATTGTTTTACTTGAACATTTCTAATGCATTTCTCTTACCCACAATTAACCAACTAATGCGGATTTATATACATTTTATATTTAGATAATCATAAGACAAAATATAAGACATCGCACTTTTTCAAAGAGAGATAGAGTGAGAGCAGCACAAAGATCCTAAGTTGAAATTATCTCTAAGTTGGACTTAAAGGGGCATGTTCCCGCCAGTGTAGTTATCGCTGCTCTAGTCATCGCCATCTTGGTTCCGAAGGTCGACTTCTAATTTGCATACAGCTGTCAATCAAAGTACGCGCGGCCTGGCCTGCCTTCGCCAAGCCAGCTGATTGCTGCCGATCGCGACGTCACGAAAGTGGGCGGAAACAGCAGCCGAATCTTAGAGCCGAACTGCGATTGGTATTACTTCGGCACATGTATGCGATAATCGTCATTGTCCGGGCATTCGGAACATGCCATCTGCGTAAGAGCCGTATTCTGTTGATGTCAATAGGCAGTTAGCACCGTCCGCCAGCGGGTACGTATTTTGAACGCCCTCTGGAATACGGGGAACATGCCCCTTTAACAACTATGGAAAGCCGTTGGCATCTATGAATTTTTTTTGTAAAAGTTATTCTTAAAGGCATAAAATGTTGATTCAAATAATTAATATTTTCTATTAACAGCGGGGATTTCATGTTCTTGATGTGGAATTTATAAAAAGTAAAAAAAAAGTTGAATTATTGCTTTTTAATATATTTTATTTCAAGGCTACAAATGGCTCTCCATAACATTTAAGTCCAACTTAGTTAAGTTCGATTTAGGATCTTTGTGAAACACCCCCCTGGTATAATAAGATTCTGGGGAAAAGAGTAGGGGAGAAAATCGTGGGAATACTTATGCATGGCATGAAATACAGTATATTTATAGTGAAAGAGAAAGAGAGAGAGAGAGAGAGGGAGAGAGAGAGAAAGAAAGTAGATGTGTATGTATGTGTGTCTGTGTGTGTGTGCGTGTTTGTGTGTAAGACAGATAGAGCGAGAGAGAGAGAGAGAGAGGGTTGGGATGGAAGAGCAGTCGAGAGAGGATAGGTTAGTGGCAGGAAAGGACTATTACTGCGTGACATGGTATAACAAATCAAAACACCACCTCACCTGAAGCTCTTGAAGCTCAATGGAAGGCCTCGAGTCTCTCTCAGTGATTCCAAGACCTGTTTGAGGATTGCATTGCCCACGTCAATTCTGAATGTTAGCTTGACTAGTTGAGGGAAAACCCTCTCGAGGTGCTTGAACATTGAGCTGGGCTCACCTATGGACGGGTAAGGCTCTTGAATGGATCCGTCACCGATGGTCAGCTCTGTCACTCCTTGGAACCCATGAACCCTTTTTGTATAGTTGTTGGAAGGTGTTGGATATTATATGAAAAAAAAGTAATGAAAATAAGTAAAATATGCAGCTCAATGGACAAACCAGTTGGTTTACAGTGAACATGAAAAGATATTGACATGAAACAAAAATTAAATAGGGAAGTTTTAAGGGCAATGGCTTAACAAAATATGGCATCCCTGAGCTCAAGAGCTGCCATTTACATGACAAAGATTGTATTAATTGATTATGCGTAATAAAGATAAAATTAATCAAGTATTGATTTGTTGCACAAATTCTAAACTTGCAACTTGCTCATAAACAATCAAACTATTAATACAACGTCGAATCATCTCATAAAGACAGCTGAATACAACTTTCAATATGGCAATTTAAATGTTATGTTAAGAAAGCTATAAGGGAAAGAGATGGGTTGAATAGAGAGAGGGAAGAAAGGAGATAATGCAATTAGATTCATATGTTCGTTCATATTTTTCGTGCATTCTTACTTCCCAGTTTCTCTCTCTTTCATTCCATATGTATATATACATGAACACACTCATGCATGCACACATATACGAGCAAAATTGTAAATCTCCGACTAACATTATAAATACAGAGACAGGTGGAGGGGGAGGGGGCGGGGACATAATATGAATATGCAAATACGCAATAAATGCACACATATCAGTCTAAAATAAAGAAAGAAATCCATTACCTTTGGAGGAAGTCAAACTCGAAATGTTGAAAGAAGCTGAAAGACAACTTCTCCACTCGGTCAAACATGTCACCACACGTCGACTGCAAGGCAACCACCATGCGGGGGTCTACTGTGAACTCACGCAGAGAGGTATGATTATTACCCTAAATCAATAGAAATGTGAACAAGCCCTTTTATATTATATATTGTATACACTTGTATCAATAAAGTTGGAACACCTAACTATGTTGAATTATGAACAGAATCATCAGACAGGCGTGATAGGCCAAGAATTAACCTTTAGAGATCTATGTCGAAATACAAATCATAACATTCAAATTACTTTTCAGAAATATAACATATACAATTCATTTTTTGATTCTCCCAGGATATTTATATAATATGGACTGGCCTTGAGGGAGATACAACATATATTTCTCAAACTAGACTCATATTGCCCCGAACCAAAGACGAGGGCAATATGGGTCTTGTGAGGGCAATATATGTGGTATCTCCAGAAAGTTTAGCCAGTCAATAAGTTATTGTTATCCAATTCAGACATCTAAAGCAAATACATAAATCAACCATGACAATCTCAAAGAACTGAACAAACTTTGTCGAACCAGCACTGTCAGAGTGATGGAGGTGCTTCATGAATACATTTTGTTTGCCCTTTTGAAAATAATATTTCCACCTGTGCATCATATGGTGCATCGGTGCATAAATGAATAATGATTACATGAATTTCATAAACACGTATCCAGCAGTCATCTCGATGAGGTTTAGAGTTTTGTCCAAATGATCTTTGTCTGACCATGCGCAGAACTCCGAAGGGGATTATTATGATATACCTTTGCCGACGATACAATCGAAGCCCTTTTCGAAAAGAAGTCTTCATGTAGCTTATTGTTAAAAAATGACAAACTCTCTAAGTAAGGGATCTGACAGATGAACACTGCCAGGTCACGCGATGACAGTGGCTGGTCATGTAGGTCCAAGGACTCAACCGTAAGGTTTTGAATCTGCCGTAAAATATAAAAATATTTGAAAATTGAATATACAATCAATTCAGAGAATAAGTTTCCCTCTAAAATACGATGACATTATTTATCATATTCATGTTCCAGTGATTTTCATTGTTTATATGTTTTTAGCCACAAGACGGGAAAAGAATTAACACTTTACATTCAACTGTCACATTAAAAGAAAAGTAATACGCAAATTATTGTTCTGCCATAAATATACAATTTCGATAAAATAAATACAGGTGTTATAATGATTCCAAGCCAAGGCTGTTTAAATTTGTTGTAAATACATATTTTGTATCTGATCAGAACATAATGAATTAAATCCAAAATCATAAAATTAAATTTATATTATTATACATTTTATCTACACTATATATAATATTGTATTCATATAAGTTATAATGAAGATTGATGGGGTTCAACAATAATTATGTACTGTGACTATATTCACTGATAAGATTGAAGGAAAACAACATCACGTTTATGATGTAATAACGTTGAACAAAATATTTATGTTCACGTATACATTACATTCACCGAAACAAATGCTAGTCAAAGATTTCTAGAAAGATATACTTTCGCTAAAGATGCCATTGACTGGGCTGTTGCAGAAATCATTTTGAGACTTTCTGGATTCCAATCTCAGGTCTTGAAGTTGAGGCAACTTGCAGATGAATTAGGCAAGATTACGTGACTCTAAAGATCGTTTTCGAACGTCAGCGTTTAAGTTCATTAACTTCTCAATCTACAATCATGATAGCTTTGTATGGTTATTTTATTATCCCTTCAAAATCATGTTTCACAACAACAAAAGGAATTAGAAAGAAAAAAAAAACAGTAAGATGTGTCTTCATTCAACAAAGTTTATACAGGAAATTAGGAATAAGATAAACAGGCATGTGAAATATCTTTACTTAAACATCTGTGTCTGTCTGTTTTATTGTATTTTTTATTTTTTTATTTTTTATCAAAAAGAGAATACGAGCAAAGGACATGACTTTTCAGCGAATGCCTTCTACCTTTAAACATGGGTGATTATACTATTTATCTAACCTGGCATACTCATTTCCCTTTTTAATGGTGCTAGTGGAGGTACAACGGAGGAGACATGTTTGTTAGTCTTACAGCCTGTAGTAATAGTAGTAGTAGTAGTAGTAGTAGTAGTAGTAGTAGTAGTAGTAATAAAAGTAGTAATAGTAGTAATAGTAGTAGTAGTAGTAGTAGTAGTAGTTATAGTAGTAGTAGTAGTAGTAGTTATAGTAGTAGTAGTAATGGTAGTAGTAGTAGTGCAGCAGTACTACTGCTACTACTAGTAGTGGTAGTAGTAATAATAGTGATAGTAGAAGTAGTAGTAGTAGTAGTCAGGGGCGTACGCAGGAATTTTTCAAGGGGGGGGGGTTTAAAATATTTTGCTCCCGAAAATTTGAAAATCGCACCGGCCGAAAGTCGCTCAGTGGGGGGGGGGGGGGGGGGGGGGGGGGGGGGGGGGGGGGGGGGGGTAAGCGGACACTTTTTTTTTTTTTTTGGTCTCGAAATTTCAAAATTTGACATTTTTCTTCGTGGGGGGGGGGGGGGGGGGGGGGGGTAAGCGGACACTTTTTTTTTTTTTTGGTCTCGAAATTTCAAAATTTGACATTTTTCTTCGTTGGGGGGGGGGGGGGGGGGGGGTAAGGTCACTTTTTTAGGTTAGCCGTGGGTATATATATATATATATTTTTTTAATAATTAAAAAAAAACAAAAAACAAAAAACAAAAAACAAAGGGGGGGGGGGGGGTTTAGCTTTTTTTTTAGGGGGGTAGTAGTAGTATTAGTAGTAGGAGTAGTAGTAACAATAGTAGAAATAGTAGTAGTAGTGGCAGTAGTAGAGTATATATGTGACGGATTTCAATACATTGTATGTAGGTTGTAGGAACCAAATACCTAAACTACTACACTATGCACTATCAAATTTTGATACGAGCATTTTGTTATTAGGTTGATGAACCTACCTTACATTGTTGTGCCTTATCAGCAAGAATTGAGTAGAAGACATAATGCATGGGTCCAAATAAATTTCTGATAACCAGAGTTCTTAGTGATGCCGTTGAGAGGATGAATTCTGCTATGTCTTGCGAAGCTTTGCGGCCACATCCCTTTGTCAAGACAAGGGAATCCTGACAGGTAGAAAGATAAACAATTCTATGACGTGATAGAGACATATAAGAAACCTGTGCTATGACACATCCGAAATATGAAAAATGAACATCAAAGCTGCCACAGATAGTTGCCTCTAGAGCTTTATCCTAATAATTTGAACCACCTTGATGACTTTGTTTAGCTTAAAAGAAACGTGATATGTGTGAACGTTTATGGTAGTGCACAGTACGTGCGTTATTAATCATCATAGCTAACCACCGAAAAATACGCTGTGAAATACTAAAGCGGTTTGAAAAAAGAGAATATTGCTTTTTGTGCAACTGAAAAGAATCGGTGTAATTACGTCATAACATACAATTTGTTTACAATGAATTTTAGACATTTAATCGAAGAAAAAAAATACGCCATATGTCAGCACTTAACATTACTTATATAATAATAATAAATAGAATGATGATATTATATGCTGTAGTCTAAAGTAAAAAAAAATACCTAAGTAAAGAACCCTCTGTCGAACATAATGAGGAAAATATAGGAATATCCATACTATAAGGTGTGATTAGATTTGGAGCCTTTGTCAGCTAGATGGTTCTAACTTTGGCTATCATGATATACCACGAGATGTACATCAGGTTTAGTTACGTTTTGCCTAAGAATAGAAAGTTTTGTTTACCACTGCATGCAGATGGTCCCTGATAAACAGAAATCCAGAGAGCGTATGTGATGACCAACTGTCAGAGATCACCAAAGTTGTCCAGCTTCCCATTAATTGATTCACCACTTTCTCGGCAGCTGATTGTTGTTGGCTCTCATACGCTACATCAATGATGAAATCCGTTCCATAATCTTCTTCAAACAAATTCATGAAGCTATTCCTCTTTTGGGCAATGAGACGCGTTACAATGTCCAGGCCAAGGTCACTCCCTTGAGCAGACGTGAAATAGAGCAAATAACGAAACTCCAATTTCTCTGCAAGGAAGTCAGCTATGATCCTCTCATATCTGTTGTGATCTGAACTATGCAATGATGCCAGATACTTGGCCGCCATAAATTCCTGGAAGAGCTTGTGAGGAAACTGCACCATGGACATTTCTAAATGAGGGTTGTTCCGTCTGTCACATCTCGGGGTAGCATGCTTCTCTCTTGTCAGGACCCCAACTTTGCAGCCCATTTCCATAGATTCTCTGCAACTCTGAAAGGTGTCTTCAGGAAACTCTAGACGTCTGTCTTTAATCCCCTGAAAGGCAATTTCGCCAATCGCTTTTAGATGATTGGGAATCATCTGACGGAGCTCCTGCACAGTGGGACCTGTCTGGAAATCATCCTTGGATCCATAATGGTCTACCAGAAAGTCAACCATCTCTTCAAACACCTGTGAAAATGTCTTCAACTTAGACATTGCTTCTCGTCTTTTTCCGTTGGACTCCCTCCACATGATGCACAACATAGCACAGAAGATCGGGAAGGGTGCCATGTTATCGGCAATGACATCGTTGCTGGTGATGAAATCAATCAGTTCTTGTGAGGGAGCTGCGTCTTGGTGAAAGAACTTCGTGATATACGCAGCAACATTGTCGACTGAGAACCCTTCTAGGTATATGAACGCGTATACTTTCTTGAGTTCAGTGCTGCTGCAGATCTCATCCGCCCTCCACTGTCGTGATGTTACCAAGACCGTGCCAGACATGAACAGCAGGTTGCGAATGATCCGATTGATTTGATGACGGTGTGATAACTTTCCCCAAAGTTCGTCTAGACCATCAAATACCAGAAAGACGTCTTCCTGATTGGATAGGATATATTCATCTATCTGCGCTGCTGTAAACGGATTGTCGTCAGGTAGGTAGGATTTGATAACTTCACCAACTGTCTTGTTCTTGGCCTTGCGAAAGGAAATCACAGCAACTAACTTGAACTGCTGGAAGCCAAGATCATTCGCCCAATCCCAAGCTATCTTGGAGCAGAATGTCGTCTTTCCTGCTCCACCTCCACCTTGTACTAGTAATCGATTTGGCGATTGTCCGTTGATTTTTGTTTTGAGGAGGTTGCAATAGAGCAGCGAATTTCTTTTTGTTTTGTCATTTCTATCTTCTTCGCGCAAAGTCGGATCGGTGTAGATACGGTCGAACTCAAACATTACGTCATTATTGGTTGGGTCTGCTTGAATGGTACACATATTGAGGCAGTAGTACTTCTTGATGTCTTTCACAACACTCTTCAATAGGTCATGCTGTGGAAGATCATCGGGAGCTAGGAATAAAATAGAAATAAAAAATAAAATGAAAACAAGAATAAACATGAAGAAAAGAAAGGAAATCAAATTAATATTGTTTCTCTAAATTTGTATGCACCTATGTCTATACATTTGCCGAATATTGTATTTGTATTATAGGCGATGCATTCCATTGCATTTGCTGCCAAATATATGCCACGCCACACAGCTAAACAGATAATCTCCCTGTACCACATTGTACATTGTATTGATATTGGGATAGATATGCTGAACGCTTCAATATTATTTAACCGTATCCAGTACAAGACCAATCTGCACGTGCTATGAGGATTGTCATGGGGCTAATCAAGAATGGAAGTGGGCAATTTTGCAGTATCATTGTTTCGCAAAAAGAAGGTAATCCTTCTGTTAATTAATACATGGGGCCTATTGTTTTTGCTGATCTGCATGCATGATAAACGAGGGTAAATCGGCACTGATGGCATATAATGACTTTTCTAAAATTCTTATATAAACGTCAAGCAAATCTTTATCAAGATAATATATAGATGCTTTGTGACATTCCTTATGTTTGTACTTTCCTGAGACATGAGTGATAGGAAAACATTGGACGGTTTATTTTAGACAATTTTTTTCCATTATCATGTTAAGAGAAGAAATATGGCTCCCAAAATTTTGACTGCATGGTTATAATGGTATAGTGTATATATAATTGTATGTCTAGGGTAAGAGCCAGTGCGATGACAACTCTTATCGCCTTTAAAAAGTGATGTAAGCGGATTTTTTAAATTTGTATAATCTATTCGAATTACTTACAAAATATAACATTACTTTAAATTGTTATTACTCACTGGTTAGGAGCTCTGCAAGATCTTCACGCTTAATCTCCCTGAAAGCTTCTAGAAGAGCTGGGCGTTCTGTTGCCTTTCTCTGGGTATTTCGCCAATCGCGGAGCATCTTCAATGTACCCCCACACGTCACATGCTGACCACGGATGTTCGTTGCTATGTACATCTCAATATCGGCCGGATCAAAACCAAGAGCCTTGCCAAGAGTATCTACATCCATGTTGCCTCCAGTTAGATGCGCAACTTTCTTCAAGATGTCATCGAAATCTTCTTCATTTCCGGAATGACTCCTTCAAAGACATATAAATACAATTATTTGTCATGCAATTCAGTATTGAAACTATCGTGGAACTGTCTGGGGGTTAAGCCTACATGTACATCTTATAGTTAATTTTGTTGACTGAAGAGGACCTGGTACGAGTTTTGAGAAATTAGCCAAGTTTAGGTTGACCAAACCTTGCCGAAAGTCACAAACAGTGAAAAGCTCTAAATATAGATATACGCATTTTGAACTACACAGACATGAGAAAATAAATCAGGTTCAAACAAAATTGGTGTATTTATAGTTGCATTTTATTTCATTTCATTTCATTACATTTCTTTATTGTGTCCATATAGGATAATTGTTTATATGCACATGAACAATCTTGCTTCAACATATGAACATAGGAACAACATATAATTGACATTCATAGAGCCCTGTTTTAGTATACATTTGATATAATATACATGGTCATGATGAATCTACATTTAAATACTCTTTCTTCTTCTTCTTCTTCTTCTTCTTCTTCTTCTTCTTCTTCTTCTATTTTTCTTCTTACATACCCTCTATTTTTTTTAAAAATTGTATATGCTCTAATCTGAAGTAGGTATTTTGTGTTAAAAATTATTTCTTGATATGGTATAACAGTAGGGGTACAACAGTAAAGTAAGTATACTAAAACAATATATATATTCGTGTAACATGTCAATGAGGGTATTTTGCATGGTTTTCACATTCTCTATTCTTTACTGGGTTTCATTAACTACTCTTATGGACAGTGGAATGAATGAATTATGCTGGCACTCCCGATCATTTCCATGAATCACTCATAACATATCGAACTTAAAGGGATAGTTGAGATCTGTTGCAGAGTGCGCTACAATTGTGAGATAATGAACAACTGAGTGTTAAGTTTGAAAGAACATACAATTTAAACGAGTATATCATCTTTGTTTGATCAAAAATGGTTCAGAGACGGCTGAAATATCCATAAATATATTATTTCTAATACTTGTGTACCACAACCAATATTAGATAATTTGAAAAAGCCGTTGAAAAAACGAAATAGCGTATTTTACGTCGTATTTCAGCCAATGCCGATGTTGGCTTGTTTGTTGGCGTTTTCGGGTTGGTTATATTAGGCACAGCCAGCCGGCCTTTGTACTGTTATTTTTAATTAAATAATTAATTAACGGTCACCGTATTTTTTTTTTAAGTGGAGCTGAATTGGTATGATCGTATTGGCGAAATTTCACACATTTCGGGGTCTAAAATTACCTTTGTAGCAATTTTAGCTTCTAAAAGGGCACTATAAATGTCATAGATAAGAATAAGAGCAATAACCGTGCACTGTGAAGACATTTGCGGTCTGAACACAGAACTCAACTATCCCTTTAACTTAACTGAATTAGTCAATCTTAAGGTCGTCTTAAAAGCCTTTTGAGATTCAAAGAAGTAGAGGAGAAGTAGGAAGAGGAAGAAAGAGTAACAGAAAGTCAGAAGTAGTATAAAAATGAGAAGAAAGGCAATAGTTTTAAAGAATAACAAAAAAAAAGAACACGAACAAGAAGAATATACATTAGAATGTCAATACGTTACAAATACTTGTAGACGGAAAATATAAACAGTAACACTTACACATGTTTGGTTTTCGGTCCAGGGTTGGATTCCACATCTCCAGCCCTCATGAGGAGAGTTTGGGTGACGTTAGGTTTATCGGCTTCGTTAAAGTCGAGGTTCTGTGGAGGCTGAGTGGTAAATGAATTTTTCATTATGATGGCTGTCTGCTAGAAGAAAAAAACATTATAATTGTTATTATATACCTCACTTAAGTAATCCAGCCATCTGATTGGTCGAAACTGCATTCATAAACTTCAACTGTTCCTGTAAAATTCCCGGTAACCATGCATAAAACATTTAATATTTTTAATAACCATGGTTATTAAAAAAATAGGTCAGCCTCCATGGTTACCCATAGGTTTACATGTTAAAAAATGGTTTGAGCGATCGAGGATACCGTATGTGTGCGAAGGATTGGTCGGTAATTTCAATACAATTGAATCTCGATCGATCTTACCGACAATTTTATCTTGCATTGTTGACATGAAGACGAAAATAAACTTCCAAAAACAAAAAAACAACATCTGCCGATAGATCTTGATCTAAGTTCGTGCCAATATGCATTGCAAAAGTAAAAGAAGGGTCCGTTTAATGGAGCTTTTGCGAAGCATTCATCACGCCGAAGCCGGTTTCAATCCATTTTAATGTATATATTGTACAAAACTGCCAAGCACGTGAACATCGCGCGATGGACGAGTGGTGTAAGGCGTTGGTGTAAGATTCATCACTCATTGTACGCAAGGGTTCGACTCTCACCTCCGACAAAAAAAAAAAGTATTTTTTATTTTTTATTTTTTAGTCTATTTTTTTTCGGCATATAAAAGTATTAATGACTGCTTTAATATTCGAGAAATAGTTGTTTTTATACGCTCTCGGGAAGGTTACAATTGGGCTATTCCCCTCGGCACGCCTCGGGTAATAGCACAATTCTAACCTTCCCTTGAGCTTATAAAAACAACTATTTCTCTCAAAGCAGTCATTAATACTATATTATAATTACTAATTTGTATTTTCAGTACTATTATTATAATAATTATCATAATTATCATCACTACTGTTATTGGTATCCCAATTATGAGAGATACGTGTTTAAAGGGGTGAAGCATGGCAAATACTGGTCAACGCCATCTACGACTTGTTTTGGACAACTGCACGTAAACAAATGGACTTGATTAACGGTCAGCTCGCGCTAGCGTTCGCGAAACAGACCAAAGTTCTCCTGACGCTTCGGTTAAGCGTATGTTGCACGCATGTGAATGCTACGGTCGCGTCGTCCGCAGTCATAGTAGGGACTTTTAGATTTGCACGTCGACAGCTTTGACTGCAACGTGTGACGTCTTTTTAAGGCACTGCGCATGCGTCACGTCGTCTCAGTCGGCGATCGAGAATTCTTCAATCTTGATTTTCCTAAATCAAATACGGTACAGGTATATGCCGCGTGCACATAAAATATACAGTTCCTCAGGTAGACAAAGGAACATCCCCGGTCCCTGCTATTATGTAAAAATGTGTAAAACAGGTGTCACATGCATTTTCACCTGTTCTACACATTTTTACATAATAGCAGTGAAGGGATGTTTTTTTGTCTACCACAGCAATTGTTGAGGGTAGAATGAGGAACTGTATATTTTGTCCTCTTTGTCCGTCATGTTCATAGTGTTACTTCCTGCATGCATGTATATCGTCGAGTGCAATCTAAAAGATTTCTAATTGTAGTCAACATGAGCAGTTGAGTACGTTGACACGCATGATCAGTCGGCGTTTGTCGGGTTCTCGTCCACTCAATCTAAAAGTCCCTATACACGTAGTCTCCTCAAGCTACACCCCGTTTAATTGAGGAATTAAGTATATATTTAAATTGGTACTGATTGTTGAAGTGAAGAAGAAGCGAGAATGAAGGTCTGGGATGTGCCATCTATGGTGGTAGAGAGTTAATTAATCCTCATTAACACTCATTAAATGTATACATGCACCAGAGGCAAATACTGACTGCATGCCTTGTTGCTTAGTCAGGTAACCGTGCATGCAAATGAGGCAGACATCAAACACAAGTTACAAAGTCATTTCATTACATTATTATCATCAATAGAAGTATTTTATTCGGCAAAGACGACCAAATGATTTGCCTAAGAATATAAGTAAAATATAGGGTATATTGTATTAAGCGTATTATAAATGTAATGTATTATTATTATTATTTTCATTATTGTTATTATATCCACATTTTACTGGTTTGTTCAATGAAAGAATACAGCGGAAATGTCATAATGCAAGGATCAAATTAATAACCAATATATTTAAAGTAAACATGGCATTTTCCAACCCATAAGTCCCGATTCCGTTATGTACAATAAACTCATTCACAAGGTCTTGCACCATTTCGCGTCCGCATGTAAATTCAGGGATTCCCCATTTTAAATGGTAACCGTGCGTACCTGAGAATACATTGTATGTCCAAATACAAGTTTATGTTCCGAATTTTAATCAAAAAAAGGTATCACAAATACTAGGCCTGAGTCAAACCGTTTAACCGACGGTTATCCGACCGCATTCATCAAAACCGTTTGGCATTTCTTGCTCCGTTTAACCGTTATTTGCATACATTTTGGAATGTGCTAATAGCCGAGGATAAAGATAATCAAAGAAACCGCAGTGTAATGTTACACCCTGTCCGCTGCGCGCCAGCTTTCTGGCAGCAGTAATCTCCATGAATGAATTTGTAAACAATAAAACTACCATGCCCTCTTCCCTATTTTCTCACCCTCTCTATTCCCTTCTCTCTGCAATGTGTTCATGTAGCTTTTCTTATTACTGCACTCTCAGACAAGCAAAGTTCTAAATGTTTACACATTCGATGGTCAGTTCCTCTCACATCCCTTCTCCCCGAGTCTCTCTCCCTCTCTCTCTCTCTCTCTCAATATTAATATCAATCCCTTGCCGACTCACCCCCCTAAAATAATGTTCATATATAAATAAAATACAAAAATAATGATAACAATAATAATTGAAGTTTTAGAAATATCAATCAACAAAGTCTTGGACGTTGTGAGTAGTTTAAGTTTTTGATCACACACAGCCACCCTTTCTATCTAGTCTCACTTGTCTTATTTCTTCACTCTCTCATGTCCCTGCCTGGTCCATGCAGCTCTCTTTCACACACACACACACACACGTACACGCAAACCTCAAACATCGTACACACAAACCTCAAACATCGGCGCCCATTACACTGTACATGTGCATACACACAGATGGAGAGCACATGGCTTCTTGACTCCCACTGAACTGAGTGAAAGCACGTGCGGTCACCAACCTGTAATTTATGCTGGTATCAAACTCCACCCACATAGCTAGAGAACCTTCCTGATTGGTCACTAACTTGGATCAGCTCATTGCAGGGTGTGTCTTGGGTGTGAGTGTTACACACTTCCACATAATTTCATATGGCAATGATACATGCAGCAGGGACATGCTAGACATGTCCCTGCATGAAGGGAGCTCTGTCCCTGACCACATGCAAACATTGCATTGCAACACGTCACAGATCAAGCTATCTTCACAGCGTAACTTTGCAAGGTTAATCATGATATCAGATTCAGATGAGGAATAATAAGACATTTTTTATGTTGTTTATTACTGGTCTCTGTTTATCAGGATGACCCAATTTGTGCCATAGTCCGGCTCGGAATGCTCAGCCCAACAGTCTGAAGACCATCAGGCGTTCCGAGCTACATTGCTATTACAAATACTGTATTTTCACTTTTTCAGATTATTATCAAACGGTTAAACGAAACCGCCCGTATAGTTTTAACGGTTAACCGTTTAGGGCAAAAACCGTAATGACTCAGGCTTAACAAATACATGTAGTAGCAAAACATTATAAAAAAAAACTGGCGTAAAGTGCAATTAAGTACATTAAACAACTAAAGCTATGGTACATGTACCTCATCTACAGTTCAATTCAATGTTAGCTTGCCCAATATTGTTCAAAAATCTCTCTGTATAAATGTACATGTATACTAGTCAAGCTGATATTCAGTTCGTTTTGTAAAAGATGAAGTTGGTAAAATATTTAAAGAAAATTTCTTCCTCATCTACAATTCAACGTTAACTTGCAAAATATTTGTACATGTTCACACATCTCTATGTAAATGCATTAATTAAGTTGATATCCAGTTCATTTTGTTTTAGAAGAAGTTGATAATATTACCTTGACAGAAATCTTTTTATTTTCATTTACTGACGTATATTTTGTAGAACTGTTGTTCGACAACATATTGTACATGTGCATGTGATGCACATGTATGTATGTGTTGTATTTAACAGGTCGTGCCAAACATAATTGTTTGAGTACATCTTGGATTGGTTATGTACTATGTAAAGCTCTCAATTCGCGTATTCTTTCATCTTTTCTTATAAGTGGCATGTATCAAACCACCTTAAAAATACATGTACACGATTTATAACATTTCCAAAGATGATATAGTAACACTAGTGTATGGATTTGTTATTCATTCATAAGTTTTGACTTCTTACATGAATGCAAATAAGACTACCTTTAATTTATTCCTGAGCTGATAAGTTTACCTCATACCAGTATTACATGTAAGTAATGCAGTATAACTCTTAAGCAACAAATGGTATCCATTCTAAATGTTATAATCTAGGGTACAAGACTACAAGTGTGTATACATGTAGATCGCTTTTAATGTCATATACTTTATATATGTACTTGAGTGAATTCCATTGATCAGTATCAGTAAGTTCTAATATGACTTGATATGTGTAGTCTCCTCGTTTAATATTGGTGGGTTTTTTCAAGGTTAAATTATTTCTGTTGTGTTTTCGCATAAAGTGTATCTAATGCAGAATTACCTTATATTATAATAAATTGTAGTATTGTCATGGGTCAACATCTATTCAATATTTGCATGAACTTTACACAAAAATGCATAAACATGTACATGTATGTGTGAGTGTCAGTTATGATATTGGAATATTATGCTGCACTTGTGCAATTTTAAAATCCATGTAATCTTGTTGATCCGCCAAAAAAATTATAACTGGCGTAGAAGATTTACAACTGGGCCAGAAAAATTGAGCTGGTTCAGTTTGATTTTAATTTTTACCGGTTTGGTAGGGGATACAACTGGTCCTGTTGAAGTATAGCCCGTCCCAGTGGGCTAGTTGAAATCCAACTGTCCACTTGTATTTTATCTGCCCCAGAAGTGATTAATCGTGAAATAATGGTCCAGTCGAATTTCAACTGGTTTGGAGGGTTGTACTTGTAGTTGAACTTTTGTAGTAATGGTCCGGTTGAATTTGACCAATTAAATTACAACTGGTCTAGTTTAATTTCAAGTGGTCTGGCTCAACTGGCAGTTATTCCATATCAATTTCCAGCCCAGGGTTACCAGGTCGCTCTATTACCTTTAATTAACTGGTTCAACTGGACAAGTTAGTGAGTTACAGCAAGTCTTTCTTTTTGGAAATTTTACTCATGTTCGGTCTGAAAAGAAGCTTCAGTTCTATACTCACATATTATGTGATCGGCACTTTATGGAATAGAAAAGAAGTAAGGGTACAGCTTATTAAGTTCTTGCCTATTACAAATATCGTGAAACTTACCCATTTAAGATCTCCCCTTCGGCAACCCGCCATGTTATATCTCAATATTATGTGGTAATAGTTAACACCGTAGCTGTCGCAGGCCCATTTGTAGAAGACAACCTTGTGACTCATGATTTCTTGTAATTAAGTACCAAATGCTTCATATCTTCGGTTCGTTGTACCCCGAATTTCAGGGTATATTGTAAAGGTTATTTCAACATTTATATCAACACATAGATGTGAACAGATGGTAACACTGATGAAAAGTTGGCCGCAACCCGGTTTCAGATACACATGTTGTACTGCTCTCACGAGAATCAATGCCGCAGACGAGCACCTGCAATAACCGTCATAGGGTGAAGGTAGAACCGCTGAACCATGAATCGCCCATTTTAGATCAAAGCAATCAATTGAATCAAATAGAGATTGGAAATTTTTCTGTGTAGCGATTTAGCTATGAAAAAAATGGCGACGCCTCGGTAAACAATACTTTGTGACGTCGATTATTCTTTTGAAATCCTAACGGTCGTATTTTGGTTTTCCCTTTAGAATACTTCGCACTTGACAAACAAACATGATATCATTTTCTCATTGATATCAAAATCATGTTGACACTGAGGGCGGCAGAGCCCACCACTGAGAATATTACATTGATTTGAAAGAGTATGCTATCATAAGCTAAATAAACTATTTTGGATAAAACGCTTTGGGCAGCATAAATGACTACCAGATGAGTTACCAGTTGAAACCAGTTGATTTACCAGTTGAAACCAGTAGAATACTAGTTGAAAAGTCAGTTCAATGTAACTTTATGCATATTCATCATTAATTTGCATGTTTTCACAGAAAATGTAATTATCATGATCTGACATGCAAATGTGACAATGCACATCAATTTTGTGATTTATAGTTTCTTAGTCAATCATTGACAAGTATATTATATACGTCTGATCATGTTTTACATATAATTTAAGACGTAACAATACTGATATATTATGTAATTAATAACCAGTAAAAGCATGTACAATTTTGTATAAAATAATGTACGAACTCTGCACACTTAATTAACATTATATACTCAACAGTGATTCACTTCAAATTCTCTGTGTGATGGAGCAATTGCAAGCGTCTATATAAGTATGGTTCAGGTGGTTGCCAGATGCCATGCAATATTAATTATTAATTGATTGATTGATTATCAGTAGATTGCTGGACGCTACTAAATGATCAACTGGAAATATCTACTGTTTTTTCAACTGGTACCAGTTCACAACTAGTGGTTTCAACTAGTCCTAACTGGTACCAGTTGACAACTGGTATTCCAACTGGTACCAGTACCAGTTGATTCCACTACACCAATTTCCATATTGAAACCAGTTCACTTAACTGGAATCAACTGGTACCAGTACCAGTTGCTTTCAACTGGTTCCCAACTGTTTGTTTTTTTGGACCTGGGTCCAAACATTAAAATAAAAGACTCTGTGGAGACGTGGATTGCTTCGATCGAGGAGTCTTTGAGATGATTTTGAATATCTCCTATGTTGCAGAACATTATATCGTCTCTTATATATAATATATTCTCATAAACATTCATATTATGTATATTATATAAAAGAGTATTTCAATGCATTATTACCAATTGGCAACACAATCGCCTTAAAAAAAAAAAATCTGTTTCATTGAAGACAATGAGTGAACTTATAAAAACACACACTCGCATATAGGCCTATAACAACTTACACATTAAGTCAAACAAAATCAGAAATTTGTAAAATAATTTTTTCTCAGTGTACTGAGAATATTTTCATATTGTGATTTTTTTTCTTCTGTTCCATTCAACTATACATGGTTTATTTCAAACCAAACTTTCATCGCGGCGTTTAGCCGAATTACAAAATTTTACAAACAAAATTAATAACACATAATGTAATAGGCCTATATAACATATAGCATAACATGATACAATGAATCTGAAAAATAAATCAGTATAAATACGATAAATATAGCTTATTGCAACATATGGAAACACAAATTAGAAAGTAATCAGTATAAGCATAAGTAACAAAGTTCTACTGAAATCATGTGAAAGAAAACGGACTGAAGTAAGTAAACGGAGCAAGTGGAGTGGTGGAAAATATCGAGAGTAAAACTGAAAAGAGAGGAGTACAGTTTGCGAATACAATGTAAACTATTGAAATTAAGAGTGGGAGAGATTTAAAAGGAAGAATAAATGTTGAGAGGGGTAAGATATAGACAAAAAAAGCAGCTGAAAGCGACAATGGCAAAATGCATATAGAAGGATAAGGACAAGAAGGGAAAAGAGGAAGAAGACGATGAAGGAGAAGAAGAAGAAGAAGAAGAAAGGGAAGATAACGATAAAAGAGTTATCAGAGTAAAAGAACAAAACAAAGTGAAAATATACAACCATGCCTAAAGTGGACAAGAGATGACGGTGAAGATGGGTGATAAACTGTTGACACAATTTTGTTAATATACTAGGCATATATCATAATATGTTAAGAGGAGTATATTTTCGATGAGGTGTAATGTTAGATATGTCTGAGTAAATTAAGGGAATAGAAAGTTCAATGGAGTTCACAACATCCATTAGGAATCACACAAGAGAGGAGCTCGGTTTCAAATACATATAACAACATGTATAAACACCACTCCCAACTCCCAACTCTTGTGAAATGAATACACATACTGGGCCAATATTACTTTACTTTATTTTACTTGAATCCAGCGATGCTATAGGAATAGCCTATTCATCAATCGTAGATGTATTCTTCAGTGGTTATACGTTATCCTTGTCATTTCAAACCAAATAAGTGGAAAAGGACAACAATTTGCGCAAACTTACGATATATCAGCTCATACAGGCTTATACACAAGATCACGGTTTTTTTAACCAGTTTTTGTCTATTCTACATATTAGTTGATGAGATATTATTCAGAAAGACTGTTCCACATGTCCACAACTTTGTTGCTAAAAAGAATGCTTCCTCATATTATCAAGCCGAGAGTACTGTTTGTCTGTTTGTGACCTCTTTACTTCCTCTGTGCCAAATAAAAGAGATTATGTTGTGTATCATATATTTTCCTTCTTCTATTTCGTCACAGATTTCTCTATTGTTCATTTCCTGTTCATCATTTTACTCTCTTCGATTTTCTCTTTCTTCTTTCGCTTTGCTTTTTAATTTTTTTTCTTTCTTTCCAATTGTGTTTTTTTACGCTTTCCTTCTTCCTTGGCCAACGCAGTGGCATTTGAAAAATAATACGCAATGTGAAATTAGTTAACTATAACGTTTTTTTCTTTCTCGCCCGATAAAGAAATTCGTGTGTGAGTTTTTGACGGCGGGGGCGAGGGTCTCGGTAGCCTGTCTCCAGTATCACCTGCCTAGTTACTATGTACCTTTTCGTCTAGTCAAATAAAAGTAATCCTAATCCAAATAAAGTGGTTTAATTTCATATAATTGTATGCTTTAGAACACCTTGAATTGAAACCTTTTGACACGAGCTTTCAAATGTATCCAGTGTGTGTAAATAATGGTCACCTGAGTAGCATCGCTTTGCAGTGTTATAAAACAAATGTTGTTAAAAGGTGGATAAAACGGCCTAGCTACTACAGTGCAGGCGGGGGGGGGGGGGGGGGGACTTGAGGCACGTGTCCCCAAATGAAAATGATGACCAAGAGTAGAGAGAGAGAGAGAGACGGGGGGTGGGGAGATAGACAGACAGACAGACAGGATAGAGAGGAGAGAGGCAAAGAGCCATTCTTATGTAAAGAAAAAGAAAGAGTGAGAACGGAGAAAGAACTAGATAAAAGAGAGACGCAAACAGACTCATATGACTATTGAGGAAAAAGACAGAGAAAGGAAGAGAAAGAGAGAGCTAGAGAGAGAAAGAGAGAGAGAGAGAGAGAGAGAGAGAGGAAAGAGAGAGAATATAGTTAAAGAGAGCGAGCCGGGGAGAGAGAGAGAAAAAAAAAAAGAGAGAGAGAGAATGGGGGGGGGGGGGGGGGGAGAAATAGAAGAGAAAGAAAATAAGGAGAGAGAGAGAGAGAGAGAGAGAGAGAGGCTAAAAGATTAGTATAAACGATATGTGTTAAGAAAAAGAAAGAAAGTTTTAGAGATTGGCGGAAACAGACTTAAAAAGTGAGGAAGAAGAGGAATAGGAGGAGAGAGAGAGAGAGAGAGAGGGAAATATAGAGAATGGCATGAGGGGGGGGGGGCGGCGAACGAGAGACGCAATAATAGATACAGACGGATTACTCACACTTCCGACCGATCAATATTATCAATACATCGCACTAACCGATATAACCACTCTGTCACTCCAACCCCTCTCTTTCAAGGTTACCATTCTCCAATGTAACTATCTCTAACATTCAAGATAAATACATAACGAGTTTTAGCCTCATAATCCAGACAACAAATATAACGATTCGATAAACCATTGCACGTGTGGGCACCGTCGACCATCCCGTTTAAAAGAACAATCACACGCAAACGACTGTCGAATGAGACAAACACAATTTTATTGAGCGTTTCAAAATGCTACCCATGCAAATGAAAGCAGGTACGCATACAGGTATTCTTTTATTTTAGCTGGTGTTTGCAGAGCAATTTGCCAGCACAGATAACCAAAGAGCCTATGTACACGACCAAATAGAGTTGGTCTCTCCTGAGCTAATACTAGTCTATTCATTAGTCTCAAAACAAATAGGACGGACTTGAAGAAGAAGAGGAGGAGAGGTTTCTGCAAAGAAGAAACAAGTTTTTATTGGTTGACATCTTCGAGTACCGTAACGAGGTAACGAGAGCTCTAAAGCCAGGCATGTTTTGTTCTTTTTTGTCAACAGAGCGGTCTTGACAAGCGGCTGGACCGGGAACCCGAGCGGATCATACCTTGCTGAAGACCGATGTGGAACAGGTCCACACTAGCAACGGACTCACATACTATAGGGCCAGAATAAATGTTGGTAGGCCTATTTAGGCCCTATTTCGTTTATAAGGCATTCGAAAAAGCGAGTTCGTTTTAACTTGGACATTTTGGACGGATGGATGTAATTTACTGGATCACGACAGCGATTTAACCCAACCAGAAACAGACATCGTTAAATGAATGATTGTGCCAAGGAAAGTTCTTCTCCTTCGAGTGCAGGTACAGTCTAGTAGAGTATTTCTATACTTGTGTGCAGTGCTGTGAACTAGCCTGGCTTGCCATGCTGCATCGTGTGAGCCTCAAAAGAAATACTACTGTACTGCATAATAAAATGTTCCTTAATTGTGCAAGTAAAATATATAGCTCCTTTTTTCCAACTCGTTCTGTCGCACAGTTGCTCCAACCAGCCGCCTCTTAAACTGCTCCAGAGAAAAGGGTGTCGATTTGTATGTATCCGTGGTTGGGAGGATGATAGGTGCCAAAAAAATTTCGGCAATATGGATCAAAGCAACCAAGAGGTAGAATCGTGTGACAGGTTGCACCTCCTCCCCAAGCGCGTAGCCAGGATTTCATTTAGGGGGAGGGGTAGTGAGCACGCGAAGCGTGCAAAGCGCGCTCCCTAGGGTGTTTGGTGCAGGGAGAGGGAGTTTCCCCCTCCCCCGCGTAGCGCGGAAGCTTTGACGTTTCATTAGATTATTAAAGAAAGAAGACGATTCGACGTACCATTCTCGACTCTCAATCATTGTTTGAATCAAGTTCCCCTTCCACCCGCGCATAGCGCGGACGCTCTGACGTTATATTAGATTATTAAAGAAAGAATACGATTCGATGTACCATCTCGACTCTTAATCCTTAATGTTTGAATCAAGTTCCCCTTCCCCCGCGCATAGCGCTATAGCTCTGACGTTTCATTAGATTATTAAAGAAAGAAGACGATTCGATGTACCTTTCTCGACTCTAAATCCTTGTCTGAATTCAGTTTCCCCGCTCCCGTGCGAAGCGCGGAAGTTCTGACGTTTCATTAAATTATTAGAGAAAGAAGACGATCCGTTGTACCGTTCTCGACTCTAAATCCTTGTCTGAATTCAGTTTCCCCGCTCCCAAGCTTTTTAACGCTGAGTCTTTGCATTTGGCGCACTGCATTTCTATGATGCTGTTGATTGAACAAATTGAATAAATTCATTAATTCCTGAAAAATCCGTATGAGCGAGAATTCAATTTGTTCTTGTCTCATATACGGTTGTGTCATTTACTTCGTAAATGTGTATGTATTATGAAAATGAGATAGCAAAATGTGTATATTGATGGTCATCTTGCGAGTAATAACCATTAACTACTCTAATCGGGCTCTCATCATTAATTTTTTTAAAAATTTTTATGGTGAATTATTGGGGGGATGATTGTACAGGCCATCCCCCCCCCCACCTGAAATATTGGGGAGGGGAGGAAAACAGGAGGGAAAGTTGTCTGATTTCTGCAACTGATGCTCTCCATTAGCCCCACCGATATCATTTAGCGCGATGACAGTTACTTAATCTTATCATCTGAGTTCCCCTTCCTATATTGAGGAACGTTTTGTTTCACTCTATCATTTTTAAAATTGACACAAAAATCATCTTGCTTCCAAATTCTGGTGTTTGAATAATAACTGTAACACGGGGTTAGAACTGTCAGAAAAGTGGCAATCAAACTGAAAAAAAAATAAAAGGTGTTTTGGAATTCCAGTGACCAACAATTCCCAAATGGAATAATTTGTTATGAATAAATCTTGGTAAGTCTTAATTACGAGTGATTTATTTTAAAGGATAATTGAAATTTAAACTTGCAGAAAGCTTTCAGAAAGGATCTCTAAATCATACTGGAATGTTCAGATTTATAGCTTTCTGATGGTTTTTCTTTCAGATTTTATGTTTTACACACAACCTGAACGACGTTGGTATAATCATGTTAGAGCTTCATCAGTGCGTTATAATGACGAGTGTTCATGTCAGCAACAAGTTTTGATTTAACTGTTAAATTGTATTTTGCTCGGCTTACATGATTTTGTTAACACCTTAACAAAAAATGGACGATGATCCTACACATCAAGCTCCACGTTTGGGCATACCGAAATCATGGACTTATTTCAAATAAAATATTCTGTCCAAATTGTGGTAAAGCTTAGTAATTGGCCAAAATAAAACATATACTCGTTGCCAAAAGATGAAATGCATTTACTTTCTTGTTGCCCAGCAGATGTGGCCTGCTGCGCACCAACGAATGGAGGTTAAAGTGACTTGGTAACATTGTCTCAGATTCTGAAACAAAATACTGTTTTTAGCTCATGCTGCAATCATAATTATATAACTTTAGGTCAGTCAGGAATCACATGACTTTTACAAGCCGATCGCATGTCTGATTATCAAGATATTTGTGATTCGAAATCGAAACTTCATTTTTCGTTTACCTAACGGTTTTTATAACACTACAGTCTATTGGGGAAAAATGAGTATGGTAAAACCGGTCACGCACAGATTTTTTACTTCATGATCATTTTGGAAGCGCAATTTTATAGGGCTTCAATATTTCACCATATCACAGACACTGATAACACGTAGGACCATGCATCTCAGATTTAACATTGTTAAACGATGCCTCTTACTAGTGTGTACATGCATGGGTGTAGGGTGCCTGAAGAAATGCACGCTGACATGGGACAAAAAGAAAGATTAAGTTTTTGAGGGGCTTCCTCTTCAACGCTTGACAAAGTGATCAATCGAATTTGTTGTACGACAAAACCTGCATGACTTTTTTTAGAACGCAAACAGAAGTTTATCTACAGCGTACAGTTATGAAGAGTGCAAACATACCGATTAAACTGATTTAAGTTTTTTCCATTATCATAAGAAGTAGCTTTCCACGTTTTGGTCAGATACATCTTTAAGGTGTTGATAAGCTTACTTTTTGATGTAGCGTCAAATTTGAGCACTTCATCAATTACTTTACAATCAATTCAATTAGATGAATTGATATGGAATTCTTTCGATTTTCCTGACAAAGAAATTAAAATTTGAAAACTTAAAAAATGTAATGATACGCACTGATACAAGTGAAAACTAGATGATATTCCTTGTATTTCGATTTGAGAAAGAAAGGGAAGGAGAAGAAAATAAAGGAACAGAAGAACAAGAGGAGGAGGATGGGGATAATTAGCAGAATTAGGAAAGAAGGCAAAGGACTAGAGGAAGAAGGAAAAGGAGTAAAGAAGAAGAAAAAAGAGAAGGAGCATGAGAAAAAGAAGAAGAAGGAAAAAAGGCAGAGGAGCAGAAGAAGAAAGAGGTGGACAAGAAGAAGAAAAAAGAGGAGGAGAAATAGAAGAAGGAAAAAAGACAGAAGAAGAAGAAGAACAACAACAACAACAGCAATCATAACAACAACCACAACAACAACAACAAGAAGGAAGAGGGGAAGGAGAACAGCAACACCAACAACAACATGAACAAATACTAAAAATGGCATGGAAACAAAAGTGATTGGCATGTGTAGATCTTTGTTTGTAAATCACAGATCTATACAGTGAAGGATATTTGTGACAGTGCGGTCAAGAGCTGTCCGCGATGGGGATGATTCATTTAAAAAGTAGCTTTATAAGATTTGAAATCTGTCAGAAGACACAAAGAAAACCACGAACCTCCTTCGGATGGTGGACGCTGAAAGGAGGGATGGGAGGGGGTAGGGGAAGGGTAATTGCAGAACTCTTACCTGTCGTATATATGAAGAATGTGATAACTATGCTTCGCATCATTTTGATTTATATATAAGTCAGAAATGTAATATAACTATGAAGTGAATAATATAAGCTAGGATTTCATTGAATCACAAGCAAATCTCAAAGAGAATGTATTTGTTTATCAAATCTCAGTTACTCTTCATCATTAACCATGAAGGTTGTCTTGGACAGCGCGATCAATACTCGACCACGATTAATTTCATTTGAGCTCGGAAAATCAAAATCAAATGGCCTCGTTACAGAATATCGGAAACCTATCAAAAAGAACAAAGATACTAACCAGTCTATGGGTTGACTTCGGATGGGGGGGGGGGGCGAAGGGACGACGCCCCATGCTTACAACTATGTTTTTTTCGATTCGGCCTGTTAAATGATTTATAGATTGGGGGTGGGGGAGGAAATAGGGAGTCCCAAGATTTTCATATTTTCATTAAGGTTTTAAAAATCATTGACATTACAAATTTTCAACAAAAGATGCACGATAAATGTTACATTATACATAATCTCAGCACATTGTAAGCTTGGAATATTTATATTTTGGCTCTTATTTAAAAGGGAAGATAAACCTAACGGCCCTTAAGATATAAGGATTGCATGAAACAAACTAAATTGCCTTAAGTTTTGCATTTGTGTTTCTCACAAGCACAGGGATTAAAGTAATTAAACACGAGAAAATAAAAAAATGTTATCAAGTAGAGGTCACAGTTAATTAGAGCAAAGAAGAAGAAGATATATACACGTAGACCTAAATGCGAGGAAAGGTTACACAAAAATAATTTATAATTATAAAAACAAATTATGAGATGAATACTCAAAGGGAAACGAAAGTGACGATGATCACCAAATAAAAGTAGATTTTGTTTTAAAAATGGAATTAGGTCATAAAATTGTAAGCTCTTTGCTCAGGACGATCGATTGGTACATGTAAAGCAATTTATAAGACACCGTCAGTTTAATTGAAAACGAAATATTATACACAGGAAAAAGGACAACAAACAAAAACTGGAAATAGAAATTATAAATTAATAAAGAAAAAAAAGAAAGTTAGGTAAAGGGAAGGCGATGCTAATGATATTAAGAAAAAAGATTAAAAAGAAGTGTGCTTCCCCTGTAGTGTTCTTTCGAAAAACATCACCCGCTCTTGAATAATGAATATTTCATCCAATGAAATATATATATCTTATATTTATTTAGTTATGTTATATGTCAACAGCCCTTTTAAAACATAGGCATACATTAGTCAAGCCGATCTCGAATACGGGCCAAATGTTGTACGATGGATCTGCAGACTTCTAATTGATTAGGGGAATATTGTTAACCCTTTTCAGAACCTCGTCGTTTCCAGCACAAAATTCAGATTAAAATGCCCCAGCTGTAAAGGCCCAAATGGGGCATTTCATGAAAAATATGCTTACTAGGGAATTTATTATTGTCTACTTGGACACGCGCATCAGAGCGAGATACACATCGATAGAATCAATCGACTTACAAGGATAGATCAAAGAAAATGGATACAGATTGATCCCAACAGGGGGTATAATACCTGTCTTCGTGGCCGGTGTCTTTTATTGCGCCTTTTACTGGAACGAAGCCACCTTTTGTATTATTCATTTTATAGATTTTAAACATATAATAGGTGTCGGCGATGTTTTTAAATCGCCATGTTACGGGGTCCCGAAATATCGACTTGCCTCTTTTTACTTGATGCGGTCGGTAGGTCCTGGATGGTATTTATTTTGCTTATTTTGATGTCTTCTGTTATCAGATATATCGTCGCTGTTTTCACGAAGTGACGGTAGTGAAAAAAAATTGCATTCACTTTGCGTTACGATTTTCCTCACTACCGTCACTTCGTGAAAACAAGGACGATATTTGCATCTTGAGTTCTGTTTTTGATGGGACGAAACATCATGTTGAATTGGAAAGCTCTGAATATGGGAATCGATTTTGTACCAAGACAAGTGAGACTGAAAAGCAGTAACTATTCTGTTTAATAGTGTTTTTTTTTAAAGAGCTCGATGCATATAGAATGTCAATGCTGATAAGGGAAAATGTAGCGGGCTGCATATTAGCCTTTAAACAAGGCCACTTGTCTGATAGACGCCGAGCGACTAAAACGAGACTAATCGCGAAAACCCAAGTGAACGCGAGAGCGAGGAGCCCATCCTAGTGGCCTTTATCAATCTGATTTGGATTTCTTATGTTAACCCTTGTTTCCGACTGGAATTCGCTCCAGAAAATAGAGCGTCCAATCAGCGAACGTATCCTCGCACGACGTCAGCATATAGTATCCATCACACACACACACACACACACAGTAAACTCTACGTAGTGCGAACATGGACCTACATGCTATGAACTATTACGTACGTGCTAAGACCACTGACCTCTACATGGAACGAATCACGAACGAAGCCAACTGGGAGATCGCCGTTCTGATTGGTCAATAAATCCAAAGTAGGCGTATTGGCATGTTAATATGTATCTATGAATAATTCATGCGCAGCAGTGAAACCCACTTTTCAAAAGGCCTCGTGACGTTCCGTCACTCGGTCGCGCGTTCACTCCGGGTATCTAGACTCATCTCAGCCGCTTAGAGTCACGAGGCCTTGTCAAAAGGCTAGCTGCATATGGGAGATCTATCATTTTGACAAATCTTGTTAAAGATAACCTTTAGTCATGGTAAGAAAGAGTGAATTGATTAGGTACATTTGCAAAGACGTAATTGATTGATCAAAAGCGTGATCCGTAAGCCTAATCAATCCTAAACAATTATTTATTTGCCAGAACGCTGTAACGTTACTGAGGATGATTCTCCAAACAAAATAAAGGCTACGTGACGTGGTGGTGTCATGTATAGTGGTTTATTCAATTGACTCTCAATCCATAAACAATTTTCGATAGCATAAAACAGTCTGACAATGAACCATAAATAAGCAAATATACATGACAATTATTATTATTTAAAAAAAAAGATAAATTGTCAAATGATCATATTTCATCAAGCCTTATACAAATGTTTGCGGAAGAATGACTGCAATGGTAAACAAATTGCTTGAAAATAATCATGACAGTCCGAAACAAATTTAATGAAATGGATGAACAGATTTGATAAACAGAATGTATAAATAATTGAGAGCATATATTTATGTAAAATATACGGATGATGACGATGATGAATTAGTTGAATGGCAACTGCGCTCATCAAAGGTCCACACGTATCCACTTAGCTCTGTGTCGTAAGAAATGCGAAGCGTTTCACACTAACATCAATATAAAAAGACCGCGGCGGTTAACCATCTTATATCTGAACGAGGCTCAAATGAAGGAAATATAATATAACCGTAATAGATATGAGTTCAGTAGGTTAAAGACTTGGCCATTATCATAAAACAACAAACTTGAACAGAGTTGAACTTGTCTACCAAAAACAAACATTGTGTACAAATTGTTTGTTCAAGCAATATTATTTTATCGCTATTGTTTAAATCTCATTTCTCTTCGATTATTACCATTTTACTGGATATATCGTCAATGAATTGTATGATATGTAATGTAATTAATATAAAATTGATGATTAATTTTGGAATAATACAGTTTAATTTAATGTATCATCACATATTTGTATCAACAATAGGATTAGAAATGAAACCTTTTCGATTTTGAACAACAGGTCAGGTCACTCTTTTCTAAATTGCATCGAGCGCAAAATTTGAGAACAGATTTGGGCTCTGATCGGCTGTGCAAATAAAATACGTACGACGCCTTATCAACTATGATATTGATTCTATTAACAAACGTGTATCCAATTTATCAAATAATATGCTAAAGGTCAAAACCCCGTATCAAATCTTATCATAATATATACTTAATCTTCGTTTATCTCCTTCTGTTTAATTTACAGGGTTTGAGTAAGCACAGCCCCGCACCTTGCCAACAGCTGCAGCAGCCAAAAGCGGCGAGCGAAGTTAGCAGTAGAGCGCCATCTGTTGACAATATACCATATATTCTGAGGAAACGTCTTCATCTCCACGATCAGCGGATGCCAACCTCGTTACAGTTTTTCAACACTGAAAAGCAAGTAAATGGATGTGGCTGGAAAGTGAAATACGTTCTCACTTCAAATGGAAAGAAATAAAAGAATATGTCATACAATACTAATCTCATGTTTATTCAAATGCCCTCTCCAAGGCGGCCCACAATGCCTGTATCAACAACGAGCTCTATACGAACGCTTGGGAAATCGAGAGGAGGGGGTATGAGCAAAAGCGGGAATTTCACATCCTCCAAGACTGATGATAAGAGGAAAGAAAATAGCAGTCGCCCAGCGTTGAGTCTTAAAGATATCACCAAATTTGATTTGATGAGTCCATTTGCGGTGCAGCAACTCACTGGAAGTTTCCAATCTTCATTTCCAACTATCGCTGGGAAGGAGGCTAGCAACGTGAAGATGTTGAACGTCCAGTTGCCTAAGAATCCTTACGCGGCCTTGCCAAGACTAGCACTCACCAAGGGGGAGGATGTTCGAGAGGAGGCACGGATGAGTTTGATACACGGACTCGGACGATCGCATTCCGAGCTATCGCACTTCAGAACGCGCGACTCGCATCGCGCGCTGCTGCAGGACCGACCGCATACGGAAAGCAGGCTTACGCGCAGGGCACAACATGGCGGACCGGCCTTCTTCTCCAGTAGAGCTAGTACGATATCAGAGGAAAGCAGACCACCTCCAGAGTCCGAAGACTCTTCTAACTCAGAGACAACGAGGAAGGAATCCGAAAGAACAAAGAGTCATTTGGAAGAATCCCCTCAGCAATATGACAAATCAAGTACTTATAAAGAGCTTGTCCGAATCCGGAGGGCAAAGGTGCGGGCCCAGACGAAACGAGCGACCTCTGGAAAAGGAACGAAGCCTGGACGGGCGACCACGGCGGAAAAAATTGCGAATTTAGCTATGAGTGAATACACGGAGGTACACGCAAACAATGGACAGATTGATGGGCAGGTTTGGAGCGGTGTCAAACCTAGAACTGCACCTGACGGATCAAGATTAGTTCGCTTTAACACGCATAACGATGTGTTTGAGTATACCCCAGGTCAATGTATAAATTGATTGACGGATGGATCCAGTCACATTCGTAATCCGGCCTTCTCAAACGTGCCAGGACAACGATCCCGGACTAGCACCCTTCGGAGTCCGGTCAACTGCCCCTAGCAACCATAACACCCGGACAACAACTCGTCTTGGACAATTAATACTACACATCGACCCCCTTACTACTCCGAATGGGATTTATTCGGAAGGGTATTTTCCAAGTACATGTAGTCCTACAAAGGCAACCTTAAAAATAATTTATTTTAATAGTACGAAGTTTGGAATAGTTCGGCATGACATGCATAATGGAATCAGTGCATGACGTAGCTCAGTGGCATTTGCACCCTTACAATCGAATGACAGACAAGAAATTGTCCAAAAAGAGAAAATTATGATATTTCGTCTACCACGTCAGCCCTCCCCACATATCCGTTGATTTCGTTCATTTGCGGCTCCCCCTTCCATTACAGGATTAGCATTACGCCACTCTTTGCAGTTTAATATATTTTACGTGAAATAGTTCCCAATTCTGAAATTTAATTCTGAACGATTTATTGACATTTTGCTGATGTAAACAATATTGAGGCACAATAACACTAACGAAATCTTGATTTAGAAATTACGTTTACACTAGAGTGTAAAAACCACGGAGTTTTGTATTTTGGGCAAGTTTAGCGTATGCGCATCATGTCTGCTTGATAAGTTTCGTTCCTGATAGCGCGCGAAAGTAAAGAAAACAAAATTGCTGAGATTCTGCGACTTAGAGTGAGCATTTACATTGGCAAAAAAAACACTGAGTCTCGCTCGAAGTTATGAAAATGACACTCATGAGTAGGGTTTTCTTCGCATAACAACTCCCACCGTAAGTTCACGATACTTTGGGGAAAATCGGTTGATTACTGTGAGTGTAAATGGTCTTGTTAAAATGGGATAAAGTTTGAAAGTGGAAAGTGTTTTTATTACATTGTATTAGCTAAGGCTACTCTACTTTTTTCGGCCAACAACTTTAGATACTTTCAATGAAAAGCGGAGCAAATTAAGGAATTAGAAACTTAACCCCAATGTTTATGGGAACACTTAGGACCATGATCAGGATGATAATACTGAATACTAAAAATTGAATCGTTTCCCTTTTGCCAATTTCATCTGGGGAGGGGGGCGTTTATGAAAAATCAATTGGGATTCGCGCTATAATTTTGTTGGGATCGAGCGTGTTTGTTTTTCCACAGTCCTAACAATAAACCGTACAGCCCATATTCTACTGTAATTCTACTAATTCAGATAGATTAAGCACCGGTTCTATGTTACATCCTTCAATTAAAATAAAAACATTTTGTTTAGTAGTACATGGGGTCATGAAACTGACAATTCATTTTCATTAATTTCATCAATGGTCCCATTCAGGAGACCATGCCCATTAGCAGACTTGTCCCGTTAGTGAGTGAAAATAAAACAAATCAAATTCGATTCCTTAGCTCTATGTCCCCCTATTTGAGCTCATAATTATCAGATCATTTTTATTATTACATGTACAAGGTTTCAAACTTCCAATAGGCCTGTAACAATGTGATTGCATAGGTCTTAAACAAAATATAATAAGGTTACGCTGTATAGTTAGTATATCTGTACACGCCTGCCATTGCAAAATTCGCAATATTTTCTTTTTCATGCTTGTATATGAATATGACAGATGGGTGTTTTTTTTTTTTTTTTTACTTTATTCTATATTACGTGCCATTTTCAAACTTTTTTCAAAAATTCTTGCATGCTTGCCAAATAATTTGGAAATTATAGATGTATTTTTCCATAGCTAGTTATACCGTCTCATATTGAAATCAGACAGGGACTTATACTTCTGATTATATTAAATTTTTAAAAATGTAATAAAGAAAACTGATATAGCTTGTATTATTCAGTATGTTTGTTATGTATGGCTATAGTAAGATGAATGTATTTAGTTTAACTGAAGAAAGAAAAATATATAGTAGAAGTGAACGATATAATGACGAGCGATTAGATAGATAGATAAAGAGAGTGGACTAGGGAAGAGAGACAGAGAGAGAGAGAGAGAGAGAGAGAGATAGAGAGAGAGGGAGAGAGAGAGAGAGAGAGAGAGGGGAGGGGGTAGGGAGTGGGGAGCGGTAGGGGTAGATAGAGCAGGAGAAGGGTAGCCAGGATATTAATTTTGCATTGGCTATTATGGGAATGGGTTGGAAACATTTAGGAAATATGTACATTGAAGAAGACTTGATATATTCTGATGCATTGCAGAGCTTTTATAGAGTAAGCTTGTATTGAATATCTTACTTTTGAAAACAAAAATACATTTTCAAATTTACATCGAGGCACCTGGAATTGAGGCGGGAAATGCCCTTTACCCTCTTGGCTATGTCGCTGGCGAGAGGGACTTGGGAAGGGGGGGGGGGGAGAGATGAAGTGGAAAATTGGAAAGAGAAAGACAGGAAGGGGATTGAAAGTGGATAGCTTAACGTGATTTAAAGGGAGTGCGCTCAAAGAGAAAGTTATAAAGAGGGCAACTCTCAGTAAATATAGAAAGTGAGAGAACGAATGCACCTGAACCCGATCCATTTCATAATAAGAGGGAGAGAGGGAGAGAGAGGGTGAGAGAGAGAGAGAGGGGGGGGGGGGAGAATAATCCCTTTTTCATTAAGTATGAAGTCTACTTAATAATCACTGTGTGGCGAGGAAATCGATAAGGCAAATAGACACTGCGAGTTATAGAACAAAAGACCCAAATACCCGTGTATAAAGAGGGAAGGTATTTGAAGACCGACACAAAAGTCAGACTCGGCATGGGGTAGCAATTGTTATTGAGAAGTAAATCACTGAAGCGATCTTGGCTTGCACTATCGCAATAAATTTTTAATAACATTTTTTTTAAATCAGCAAACATATAAATCGTAAATGACTTCTTATCCTTTCGCCAATGTGTACGAGGGCTGAGGGTACCAACATCTACTCATAAAATGAGATGAATAAATGAAAAATGAACATAAGGGAACAGAGAGGAAAGAGAGAGAGAGAGAGAGAGAGAGAGAGAGAGAGAGAGAGGTAAATGGAGAAAAAAGGAATATACATGACCTCATCCCCATGTGACATAGTGGCCCCTCGACGCTACGCCACTTTCGATAAAATCAATCGAATTGTCCCATTACCACTCTCTCCCTCCCATCCTCTCTCTCTCTCTCTCTCTCTCTCTCTCGCTCCTCCCTCTCTCTCTCTCTCTCTCTCTCCCCTCTCTCTCTCGCTCCTCCCCTGTCTCTCTCTCCCTCTCTCTCTCTCTCTCTCACCCTCCTTCTCTCTCACTTTGGCATTTCACTTTCTCTCGTCATCTCGCTGTCACACCACCCTTCTTGCATGAGTAATAACAATATATATAATTTTTAAAATACCCTTGTAAAGCTGTTGTTTTAGAATGAACCTAAAAACAAAGTTGATATGCTTTACAACCCATGACAAAATACATTTACAAGACTGTGCGCATATAATTGTGTGGGGGTGGTATAACTTTTTAGTTTTTTGATGATACATTAATCTACATTTGCCACTCTCCCAGGTGTACATTTTGTAAATGGGTACCTGATATGGTTGAGCGCTAGTTACTTTGGCAGCTCGGCTAAGACCAGGGTAACAATGTGTAAAGCGCCATGAGCGTCAGAGCCTGATATCGGCTCTATAAAATAACCATATTATTATTATTATTATACGTAATATGGAACGAGCCATGATTTATTTTGTCTTTATAGACATTGTGTCTCTTTCGACTTAGAGACTGTAGACAGTGAAAAACTTATTTAGATTACCTTGTGGACCTTGTGGTATCAATTGTTGTTTGGTTGAAGATTTTGCAGGAAAATAAGGAGGAAAACAATCATTAATACAAGGCATACAATAGAATTCCGTAAATATTATTGTAAGCAAGCTGGATTCAAACATCTGCTTTCTTTAACAAGGTGGGGAAAAAAAAACGCTTTTCGGCATTCCTTTTTTTATCATTGATACTTTTCAGAGACGTGAGCATTCTTCATTACAAAATACAATGAATGAAAAGTACTTTTCCCCCCATATTTTATTGATTTTCATTTGCAACAAATTAACAAATATGTCTTCAAGGTAATTCACATTTATAACATAAATAAAATTGACCACTCAAGAAACAAGAATTGTTGAACTGTCCTATAATGTATTTCTGATATTCATGGAAGAAAAAAAAAGTACTTGTTGCCAATTTAAGGAATTTCAATTTAACCTTTGACCTTGCCCTGGATGAGCTGAGTCACCAGCTTCGTGTTTACATGAACTAGCTTGTTACATTTGCATAATCTCATTTATTATTAAAGAACATATTGTCGGTGAACCCTCTCCCTCTTGTTCCACACCGACCAGTCCATGTAACAATTTGTCCATCGCTTGTTTTTCCTCTCTTTTTGAAAGGCGCGCAACCTTCAACTCGAGCAGACGACAATAACACACGATCGTATAATATAGTGATATCGGTAACCACACATTATTGATTTTTTTTCCTGAACCAGGCCGCTAAAACCACAGCTCTAAGCATTCGTCTATGAACGATGACAAAAAGGTCGACCTCTGACACAAAAGGAACGCTCTTATTAATCCCAGTCCTGGTCGCGCGGGGGTGTAATCCTTCTACTGCATTGTAGGCTATAGGACCGCACGCTCTGTAAACACTTCCAGACAGTCGCTCACAATATTCCGACGAACAATTTCATACCTGTGCTGCACCATGAAACCAGCAAATTCATGTAAGTACTGCTCCTTTCTTTTTCATGTTTGTTGTGAGATACATGGCCGACATGCTTATATGAACAATGCAAGTTTTACAGAGGGTATTATAGTGTCAATGTACGAGTCGGGTTTGGGGGAAAGTGCGTCCTTAGTTACCGTGCGAAAAAAGAACCACTCATTTTTAACGGGACGTTTCGCACAATAGTATACACCACATACACATGTTATAGTTATACGGTGTTCAGAACTCTTGTGTTCGGGTATTTTGCATTCAACTTGAAACATCACAACTTGTTCAATAATGCTTTCACTCCCTTGCCTTGGCCAACAGACCTTATATTTATTTATACATTTTAAGAGTTTCAAGAAAGGAAGGCAGATATATTACCTGGACCAGTTGAGTTTCTAGATATAAATGTAGAGATATGTTCATTAATGAAATCATAACATAATCACTGTGGCCCATAAAGTTGAAATATTCTTAAAACAAATTGTATTAATGAAATGATTGTAACTATATGATATACTCTTAATATTTTACTTATCTTCTGATACCTTTGTTAATACGTCCTCTACCATTACAACTACTTCAACCAAATGTTAGTTTTATTTATGGGAACCTATAATCTACAAGCTGAGCTTTTTAGTAGGTTCCTCACATTTCACTCTGTATAACCTTCTATTCATTACAATTAATTTCGACGTCTTTTCAAAGAAATAATTATATAATTTGACACTTTTGGTACATTTCATATTATGTTCTAATTTTGTCAATTATGTGAATTCTTTTTATTTGTGAAATGTGAAATAAACTTGAAACTTGAAACTTGAAGTCATATAGAGAAAGAGAATGATCTATAAGGTACTGAAAATATATAAAATTTATAAATTATATCAAGCATAAATTATAATGATCGTCGCAATCATTTCTTGAAAATAGGTGAGTTAAATGTACTCCAACTCTGAGGGCAAGCGTGAAGATTCAGATTGCGCAGATAATTATGAACTGACTTATTACGCGAGTTTTATGATCGCCAGGAATGTCATCCCGGACAAATATCCTCCGAAACATATGCCCGGACAATTGTCGCATATAAAAGGGATTTTCCTCAATTTGTACGATGCTAGAACTACTTTTTTTCTGATCTGGACAAAATGTATCTGCATCCGAACAACTTTCCCCTGGACAGGGAAGGTTGTAGAAGAAGATTGTTCTGGGGGGGGGGGGGGCGCTTAGCGGTAATGTTGGGAGGGGCTTGGGGCTCTTGCGTTCATTATTTTTTACATGTGACTCGCGATTATTTTTTTGGGGGAGGGGGAGGCGGCTTTAGCTCCCCATCTAAGGGGACAGTTGTGGAAAAGCACACCATTTATTCTTATTTAGAGCTATTTTGGGGGAAATTGTTGTAATAGGAGTGGTTGTACGAGGGATAATTTTGAAGGGGGAGGGGTACCTTGGACATAGCTCATGTCTGGAGTGATTTACCCAAAGATAGCAGTCTTGACTTTGATAATCGTCATTTCCTTAAAATATTCATTGGTATATCCAGTGTAGAATGGATTTGCCTCACCCCAATTACGCCAACCCGTGTAGGCAAGATTCCTTCCCATTGTTTAGTAATGTGAGGACATTCCACTGCCATCATTATTTTTGAAATCTTGAATATAGCCGGCCTTTTGTCTTGATATCGTTGTATAATATGGTTTATGACATACAACCTAAGTAAAGAAGAAACACAAGTTACATCAAAGCCTTTCCAGATTTTTATGGGGTTTTGATATACACCACTGAATTCATTATTCATTATCATATTAACGATGAATTAATTGTATACGGTAGTATACTATACAATCAAGTCAGTAGGTATTGTCATTGGACTTTAGACTGCTAAGTATTGGTGATTAGCATTAATCATTCTTATCGAATTTCAAGGACTGTGTTATCAATAAATTACTTGACAAAATATACACAAAATATAAGTAAAATGTGAAATTACCATTAAAAGGGTCGAGGATTGATTTTGCACTCCTGTGCCATTTTAAATGGTGATTTAACATTTTAGTCTTTAGAATTCGTATAGTTTATGTGGCACATAAATATTCTTTTAAGACTAGTTTGTATGAACATAGAAATATTGTACTTATAGTTCCTTAATATATATTTTTTCTTTTAATGAATTCATGGCAAGTGACAGTGAATAATAGGCTATCAATTAGTAAATTCCTCGTTTTTTCCTATCTTATTCAAGATCTTTAAATCTTTCAGCACCTTCATATATTACATTAAAGTTGTCCATTTATGCAAGGAAAGAATGGAATTGTCAAAAGTACCGTGCATCATGTTTTAACTAATACATTTCATCAGTGTTGAGGTGTTGTGGTATAGTGTTTCAATTCAGTTGACACTCATTCCATGGTATGAGTGTTCGAATCCCAACCCGGCACTTACGTCCTTTGGCAAGACATTAATCCACATTTGACACCTCAACCCGGGGATCCTGACAATTTATTGAGTAATAGTTGCAGGGCCCTCATCAAAACAGCAATGAAGCTGATGAGGCTTCACTGGGTAGACAAATTATTATGATTACTATGATTATTATTGTTATTACTATTTTCATTATTATTATTATTATTATTATTATATTTATTTATATGTTTTTCATACCTCCAGAATTCGAGATGTTACAGAAGGCTTGAGACACTATCATGCTAATCAAAGGACGGGCAAGCCCTAGGACAAGCTCGCGGGTAGATGTCCCCCTGCAGAACTCAAGCCGACCATGTCGAGCGCCCCCTCCAGAAGAAATACTGTCCTTTGAAGATGAAGTGGTCTTCGAATGGTCAAAGAGCATCGCTCCAGAATTTACCGAGTCCAGGAAGGTGCGGATTCGCGCCGAGGAACAACGTAAGACGACCGAAAGCCTCTTCCCAGGATTGTTCGCCGAAGTCATTGACGATTCCTTGTCTCAACGGCCGACCTCCGGATCAGTTTCAACGTTGGGTTCCCCTTTGGCATTTTCAAGTCTGTACGATCAAAGAGGGAGCGTTGAGGATGTCAGCACGCGAAATAAATCCCGATGTGAATCGACGAAGCTCTATTCTGGAGTGCGGACCTTCTTTCCTGACAGATGCCACACTGCACCTTCATCACAAACTGTCGGGGTAGACGATGAGAAGGGTATGAATGTGACCCAAGTTATCAATATGGCAACTAAGCATGAAATACAAACTCGAGAAAGAAGCAAATCCAGTCGGTTATACGGTGAAGGCACCAAGCGTCGGCCAGATGCGTCTCAATCTAAATCAGCTCGTAAGGTCCGTAAACCAAACGAGGAGCGTTATCTCACGAGGAGGTATCGGGAGAGACCGTGTTCGAGAGCAGAGAGTTACGTGAAAGAAGACATGTTAGATTCAACCAGTGATTTGTCTCGTGAGTGCTGTGACGTCCTGGGCCCACGCCATTGTTATGACTGCTCTAAGATAACGCAGAGGAACACGTTTGTTAACCGTAGCACCTCTTCGTTTCCCAGCATCCACATGAACCCGAAGAACATGTCAACGATTACCTTGGTTCAGAGGCTCTTCCCAGAGTTGAGCCAGTTGGACATTCTTGAAGGAGTGGCTGATGGATACATCTCATCTCGATCCTTTTCACGCGATAGACTCCTAGAACTCTGCGAACGCAAGAAGGCGGATGCTCGGAAGAAAGAGCTGAGGGAGAAGTGGAAGGGCGTTGCCAAACGGAGAATAAGTGCGTTTTCAATTCCGGATAAGGTGCACTTCTTCAGTAACTTCACCGATCTCAGAGCCCAGATCCTGAAACAACGCGGAGGCTACACAGTCATGAAAGATCTCGTGTCTCCCGTTAATAGTCTTAACCTTATACCACCTCCAACAGAAATCGAACTCATCATCAGGAAAGAGGAGGACCGAGAAAACCCTGCGAATTACTTTTGTCCACCGCTGATGACCCGGGAAGAGATCCAACGACAGAGGAGTCAACCGCGGTTTTATGCAGGAGCGAAGCAGGAATACAAACTCCCCGACGCTCCACCTCTGACAGACATTCTCCAGAAATCGAATACAGCAATACGAGATTTTGATCCCGAGTGTGTTGTCAAGCCTAAGTCCGAGAGAACAAAACCTGGCAGCCCGCGCATTGACGCATTGGGTGATTCGACGAGAAAGGTTCCGAACGTTGGTACGTTTGGTGGCAGCGGTGGGATTTTGGGGAAGCCACCGGGGAGATCAAAACCACCGAGGATCGGGCGGCCGGAGATGGGCGGGGGACTTACGAGGAACTCTCTAGCAGCATCATCATCATTCACGAGACCGCTGCAGATGGAGACGCTGACTGAAGATGGGAGCCAGAGTGAGAGGGAGGATTTGAAGGACGAAGAGGAGGAGGATGAGGAGGAAGGTGGTAAAAATGAGATGGAGAACGGAGGAAACCCCGTAAGAGGTGTAAAGCGATTGGCACTTAATCATCGGATGAAGTCTCATAACGACACAGGATTAAATAGCAGCAGAATACGGGAATTAGAGGAAGAAGAGGAGGAAGAAAGCAACGATGATGATGGGTTGAATGAAATGCTGATTGACGAGGCTGGCGAGGTGTTGGACGATTCGGACGATGATGGCGATCAAGAGGAAGAAGCCCTTGGGCATATTACGCATGGAACGAGTAAACTGCAACTGAATAGCAAACATTGGTTGACCAAGGAGACGGGGCAGCATGCTTCACCTGAAGCAGAAAACGTTTACCAGGCAACAGAGGAGAATATTGTTGAAGAGCTCGTCGAAGAGGAAGATGAAGACAACTTCACAGTAGGCTCAAGTGATGGTTTCTTGCAGTCAGATGATGAGCTCGAAAACGAGCTATATTTGAAGTTATGATTGAATCATTTCAACTTTACATTACGATACATTATGGTTTTTCTTTTTGGCTTTGGCTTTAGTTTTCGTGTTCCATATTCCACTTATTTAATAAATGATACTTTCAAGCATACCCTACAGATTTCAGGTTAAAAGCACACATCTTGTTGTGGACATGATGAAATCACGGTTTCTTTTTCTTGCCAAAAGTGCTCAGATAGTTTATAACGACTAAACTTTTATTAGATTATTGCTTATTTTCAGAGTAATACAAGGGGAAAAGAAAAAACAAACAAGCAATAACAACAACAACACTGTTAAGGAAGCTGGGGATTCATTAGCAGAATTTGGAGAGAGGGAATTGGGGAGAAAAGTTTTTCTCGCGGTCAATTTACAAAACAAATATCAATATTAAAATGAAACGTTTGACATGTCATTGGTACTAAACTTAAAGCACTAAAAGAATGAAATCATTTTGCCCCCCGAAATTTTAAAATCGCACCGATAAATATTTCGCTCAGTGGGGGTGAAGGGCGGGGGGGGGGTAGGGGTGTAGTGAGAATTAAAAAAAAAATTGCCCCCAATATTTCAATAAAAAAAGATTGTTGTATTTTTTCCTTTTTTTCTCACTTGGCCTCCCAATGGGGGGGGGGGGGGGGTGTTAACCGCCGAACACCCTAAATCCGCCCCTGTTATCTACTTGTGACATGGGCATCGGAGTGTATCAATCTGAGGGTGAGCAATTGTACAGGCAAGTTGGACTTTTTTAAGTTTGTAATACAAATTTGCATGAATGAACGGTTTTTAAGAGGCCTTTGTAAAAGAGTCTTACCCACTCCCTCAAACGTATCTTCTTATGGGATTATTACATTGGGCATTTGAGTGTGTTAATCTGAGGGTGTGCATTTGCAAAGGCTTTGTCGGACTATTTCATTTACTTTTTGACAGCATTCGCCAACTTTTGCTTTAATTCAGTAATTTTATTTCCATGTTGAGAGTAATGGAACGTAGTATAATGTAATACCAACGGTCAATTTTACCTGTAACACATTTGAACGATATTAAGAGTGCTTATACATGTATTTCAACATGTTATAGACGCTCTTCATATATAATCTATATCATTTTCATGCTCGGACAATCGTGAGAATTGAGAAGATTCCAAACTAAATTCAAATCTTTGATAAAAATATGAACGCAAATATTTTAGATGCATAATAATTAGTTTTCTCTTCAATAAATCGCCTATTAAAACGGTTGTCTGTTTGCTATTTAAACTATAGCAAAGCATGATATTATTGTTTACTGTTCTGGGTAATAGGCTCATTTCATTTTAATAAATGGAAAATCAAATCAAATTTGCCTTAAAGTGCTATATACATATGACTTATATATATATACATGTATATGGTCTATATATCTATATATATCTACCTTCATACAAAAATAATAATAATAATAATACAGCATTTATTATGCGCCATCGATCTAGTAAACTATTCTGAGGCGCAAAGGGATAGATGTATGTATGAGAGTATGGTGGGTTAGGTCTGCTCTGATGTCGTTAAAATATATATATACCAAATGAGGAGGCTCCGTAATTTAAATGTATTTATGTATCCATTTGTATATCCACTAACTAATTTGTTAACATTTTCATAGTCTCTGAGTAGGCGGTTATATGTGGTTTCAATCAGGAACATGCTTTCTGTGCAATGCTCGTTGTCAATCAATAAGTCATTTATAATCAATTGAATAAAATGTGCATTATGATAATTTAAATTTCAATCATTCCATTTTATTCAATCATGAAAACAAATCATATGAATTATCATATTATAACGTTTTTGGTTATGTCAAATTATTATCTTCGAAATTGAAATTGAAATTGGTTTGAAGTTGGCAATAATTATTTCAGCAACATGACATTTACTGTTAGTCATTGGCACCATGAACTGGCGATATTAGGGGGTCACACAACACATGGAGAGAATCTCGGCACTTGATTGGCCAATTGAACATCACCTGACCTTTATTATTATTTATTTTTACTATTGAGTGCGGGCTTCTGCGCCCTACAAGGTTCGTCCAAACGAAATGCATATTGATCATTTGATCACGAAATACACTTCAGTTAAAAGGAGTGTATCATGACGAGACTACGTGTCTTTCCCGTAGCCCTACTCGGGGCAAATCGGGTATAATACGACTACGGACGACGCGACTGTAGCATTCACGTGCGTGCAACATACGTGAAACCGAAGCGTGAGGAGAACCTCAGTCTGACCCAGTTAAATAAGTTCATTTTTTTACGTACAGTTGTCCAAAAGAAGACGTATATGGCGTTAACCAGTATTTGCCATTCCCCTCCCTTTAATGTTGTGATTTTTTGTTTTTAGGATGATTCAATACCAAAACTGCAGTGAATATTCAGTCTATATATAGTCACACGTTAAAGCAACATTTCATAGGTCCGAGGAGTTAAAGTGTTTTCGAAACATGTTTATTTGGCTAGATACTTTGCTGGATCTAACAATATAAGAGTTACATCTAACTTGTTAAAATAAAACGTTGATTCCCTCCAGCCACTTTCATCATGGATTATTACTTTTTACTGTAAATGTTTTGTCAAATGAATGAATGAAAATGAATATATTATCTTCCTCGCCAGGCCTATATGTTAAAGCAATAAACTGCTGAGTTTGAAATAGTTACTAAAGGGCAATAATGGACATTTAGGGAAAATATTTGCTTTAACCACGCAATATTTTTCGTAAGAGGATTCATCATTATTTTGAGAACATGCAAGAGTATTCATTTCGAGAATAAAGGTGCTTAAACATGAATATTTATGAAGCAGGATTCTAATAATTTTTTAATGCTCATATCAAAATAATGTTTTTCAAGAGAGAAGTAGTGAATAATTGGTATGAGAAATAAAACTATGTTGTAGAAAGAGAGAAAGAGAGAGAGAGAGAGAGAGAAAGAGAGGGAAAACAGAGAGAGAGAGGGATACAGACAGAGAGAGAGAGATACACACACATAGAGAGAGACGGGGGAGAGAGAGAGAGATAGAGAGAGGGGAGAGAGAGAGAGGAGAGAGAGAGAGAGAGAAAGAAAGAGAGAGAGAGAGAAAGAAAGAGAGAGAGAGAGAGAGAGACAGTCAGACAGACAGAGTGAGAGAAGTGGAGAATAGAAAATGGAATTGTAGGAATTGAAGGGAAATGGAAAGGTATTTACTGAATATATAAATATATACATAGAGAGAGGGAGAGAGGGAGGGAGAGCGCAAAGAACAGGGAGAGAGAGAGAGAGAGAGAAAGAGAAGGAGAAAGAGATGAACAGCAAAAGAGAGATACTTGTGTGTTGAAGACAAATATGTCTACATATAATATGTTTCGTATATATCTTTCGAACATCGTTTGTAATTTCAAATGTTTGTTTAAAACAAAAATGGTTGAACCAATAAATTAAAACATAATAGGATCAGGAAAAAGACACACAGAGAGAAATCCAGTCAGATTACATTTATATGTTAATTGTTTTCATTCTAAGTGCATTATCTATAATGAGCAAGGTTATGAATTGTCCATTCACATAATTTGAAAAGTTCGTTTGAGCGAGCATTATCAGACTATGAAATTAAATATTTGTACAAAATATATTTGCTCAATGCATACGTACTTGTCTGCTTGGTACACAATGTAAGGTCACATTTTGCCCACTCATGCTCTTTTCATTGCAAGACAAAAAGAAAGTGTTTACTTAGTGCAGCGCAATGACCATTCTGCGCGTGAGAGCAACTATACTGTATAAGTACAGTCAGCTAGTAGTAGGATCTCTTACAACAGCAGTTAAAGCCATGTGTGAAACCCAGTCCAGGATCTAAATCAAAATGGGGTTTTCAATCTCTTTCCGGCTCCTGGTCATTTACGTGCTCGGTGTCGTATTAGTCTCGACGATACCGCGCGCAAGTGGTGCCAATTTCCTGGCAACCTTGTTCCATCCTTTGGGCCAAGCTTCGCACAACCGTTTTGTTGGACGAATCACTGCCGGTCTAATGACGCGAGGTCACGCTGTAACTATCCTGGTAGCTGATACATACAGCCTAAAAGGTTTCGACAAGGATACTGCCGCCACAAGGATTCTCACTTTCAAGGTAACCCTTGTACCTTTCAATCGTAACTGCGTAATCTCCGAAAATTAAAATTAAAACAAGTACCCTATAAGAAAGCACAACACCAGAGAAGAAGGCCGGTGAAAGGTTGAATAAGAACGGGTAAAAAATAGATAAGTTATTCTTAACGTTATCGAAAAAGTCTTCACTAGTTTCAACTCACAAAATGACAGGAGGGTGTTTTCTTTGTAGATTCCTTATAATAATAATATTGTATCCATAATCTATTTTACTAGTGCGACAAGAGGGAAAGCACCTGGGAGAAAAAACATAAAGTAATTATACTATTGTACACAACAAACTGGAGAGTTGCCCATGGCAAATCATTTACTAAATTGACAATTTGAGATTCTCATAGATTTCTTATCTCGTATTTCTAACATCTGGCACTTTCTTATTATTGGTCCGATGAAATTCGAACTTTTGCCATTTTGTTTCTCCTATATGTCAGCTTTTATACAAATGAATTCATTACAAAGGCTGGGTTACCATTTAAAGACATTGGTGTTGCGCTTATGTGTATTCCAACAGACAACCACGTCTTCGTCGGGTCTTAACAATTTTGCCAAGTCGATGTCCGCAATTCAACAAAACGATGCCAATATGTTCGGGATGCTGAACTTATTTCTGGACCTGAGAGATACCTCCTTGCAAAGCTGTGCGGACATGTTCAACGACCGTGACGTCATGAATGACCTCCGGAAGCAAAAGTTCGATCTTCTTCTTCTCGAAATGTTCGTACCCTGCGATGCTTTGCTTGCCGAATATCTTAAGGGTAAGTTTAAATTCATGGTAGGGAAAAGGAAAAGGATTAACATAATGTTTTATATGATAATTGTCTTCCACGTGTATGGTCAAAATATTTGTGCCAAAATGTTGACATATCACTCACGCTGTTTAAATGGATTGTTGCGATTTCAGTACCTTTCATCGTGATGACGTCATCTTTCCGATTCCCAGCTTTCGACGAGGACTTCTTTAACATGGAGATTCCTTCATCGTACGTGCCATTCCAGAGCATGGGCGCCCTCACCGACGAAATGAGCTTTGCTCAACGCGTGCAGAACTTCCTAGAGCGGCATGTAATCGTAAAGCTAATGCAGTACTTGAACATAAAACCTTATCGGTAAGTTATTTGTTCCATATTGAACCTTTTTAATCCTATTATTTTTCCATACACCCACAACAAAAAGTGAGTCACCCTTACTCAAATTGATGAGTCACTGGTTTGTCCGTACAGCGAAACACTTGAAGGACCATGTGAGTCACTATGACTCGATACAAATGAGTCTTATATATCTAAGAGACTCATTTGTATCGAGTCATAGTGACTCACATGATCCTTCAAGTGTTTCGCTGTACGGACAAACCAGTGACTCATCAATTTGAGTAAGGGTGACTCACTTTTTGTTGTGGGTGCATCATGACATAGACCCCCTACTCCCTAGGCCTATCACACACATACCATACCATGCCAGAGTCACTGTCCACATTTGCAATGGAAAATATATCCTAAAATATCACATTTTAGCGATGTAGTCGGTGGTCCCGCTACCCGAATCTGAAAAATCTACTTTGTACGCACTAAATTAAGCCTTAACTTGAGATTTATTTGTCACCTATACTGTCACGAAACAATCTTGAATTAATTCGTTTTACATCAAATAACAAGGATCTAGGAGTTTCGTTGTATAAAACAATGATGCAAGATCATGCATGTTTTCATTCGACACGGCTTCGTGCGATACAGTAGAATCTATACACTATGAACATGACTGACAATGAGAGCGGACAAAATATACAGTTCCTCAGGTAGACAAAGGAACATCCCTTCACAGCTATTATGTAAAAAGGTGAATTTGCATGTGACACCTGTTCTACACATTTTTACATAATAGCAGTAAGGGATGTTCCTTTGTCTACCTGAGGAACTGTATATTTTGTCCGCTCTCATTGTCAGTCATGTTCATAGTGATAGTTAAGTTACACACAGCCTCATCAACTCGAGTGCGGATATCGTAAAATGAACGCATGCATCATTTGTATAATAATCAGAAGATTCAGCCCACGAATCCAGTCATAAAAATCATCGTTTAAAACCATATGAATAATTATGCGTACCAATTTTTCACTAGCTGCAGTCAAAACTCTTCTGAATCCAAGATATAAGATGGCGACGTCGCGTCGTCGATCGGGAATTCAAATATGGCTCGAGAATGCGCATTTTGGATGACGTCACGAAAGCATGCGCGCGCATGCATACAGCCTCACTTTCAAGTTGACTCACTTTTTTCTTCTAAAATGCTCTTATGTCGATCTTGACTCATTTTTTACGACCATGTGAGTCAGTCGAAGCAGTTTGCAAATGCGTCAGCTCATGATTGACACACTGGTGAAATATAAATGAGTCAATAGAGACTCATTGGTTGTTACTAATGAGTCAATTTACACCTGACTCACGAAAATTATGCTTAAATGTGTCAAATGACTCACTTTTTGTTGTGGGTGTAGCAGATTGGTTGATCCAATCAAACAACATTGTGATCAAGTTATCCAGTTAGAATATGGTCTAAACTAGACAGAATCATCCTTCATATTGCTCCGGTTGTCTCATTTTCGCCAGCACAAACGTAGCTAGTTCGCGTATGTAGCAGACGGCAATCGGCGGATCAGACGACACTTTATAATGATTTTGTATGTGAGATTGCTTTGCTAAATATAAAATACAAGAATCTTTTCCATATCTTTAAACTATCATTGATATCTGATAATTAAACAGTTAGTAAAATAAACCTACCAAACGACATAATACAATGAAATACTTGACTGAAAGTAGGGGAGTTTGATGTGGTGCACAATTGCACCCCTTTATTAATAATCGAATCGTCCATGGTGTTCATGAATAGTCACGTTTTTGCTTACCTCGGCAAAATACTTGCCTATACTAAATGGAAAAATTACGGTGGGGGGTTGGATGAAATAGACATAATGAACAAATCAGAACTGATCTATGATAATTCGTGCTTCTTATCCTTCATGTGCTTGACTGATAACCTTACAATCGCGTGATAAATTGAGTCCAAAGTTCGACTTGTTGTACATATATAGGTAATGGCGAGCTTGCGACCTATTTTGAACAAATTACGGTGGGTGAACTTTCAAAAGTAAATGGGACATGAGGGTTCCAATGAAAGAGCCAGTGATAACGTACGTCGGGGTGGATGTGCTTTTCGTTTTTTTTAACGATTTTTTTTGTTTTTGTTATTTTTTTTGGTGGGGGGGGGGGGGGGTAAAAGTCCATAGGCTAATAACGTACATGTTAGGCTGCTGGGCTCTGCCGATAGGGGGCGTTCTCAAATGAGACTAAACGGAGCTATATGTTTATTTCTTCTTACAATAAAGTCTAGATCCATGACTAGATCAAAATTGAGGGTTCATCTGTAACAGGCATCTTTTCATCTTTTCGTGCTGGCTAGTCTAGCTAGCCCTACACTATTCTAGTCCACAGCAGCACCTTAAAGCTTATCTGTACTAGTTTACAGGAGGGATCGGACTCGTCAGCTCAGCTCTCAGTTAACATAGGAAAAAGAGGATCATGGGGGATTGTTTGTTATATAGAGGGCACAAGTAGCTACACGTAGTGGAGTGGGCCTTTAAGTTCTCCGTCTAAAGCCTGCCGCACACTATGTGATCTGACTACGATCCGATTTGGAAGAATCTGCAATACCATTTAACATTAGCATTCTAACTTCTAAGATCATAATGATCGGTGCCGTGAATAGTCATTATGCTTAATACAAATTTAGAGTACAATGGATTTCAAATTCCCTTTTAGGAGGAATAGCTAAATCGGCTCAGAATCGAAGTGACGTCATACCAGGAGAGCGATTGTCGATCTGAAACCGATTTGCCTTTTATCGGCGTTAATTTAGACTAAAAGGCTTAAATGCATTAAAGGTCCTGCTATTAGTATTTTTTATGATTATTTAAAACCTAAAATCAGGAAGATGATATTGTTTTAGATTTCCATATCTAATATACTTGCAATTTCTTCCAAAATCGAATCGCAGGAATATCGTAAAATGTGCGATTGGCTTAAGCGAAAGAACATGACGAAAAGAAATTATCTCGTTTGTTCTTGGCAGGAAGATACAGCTTGAGCACAAGATCGATACGACATCTTCCATCAGGGAGCTGACCGGACGAGCTGAACTCTGGTTGTGCCACATTGATTTTGCCCTTGACTTTCCCCATCCAACCGCTCCAAACTGGATAATGATCGCCGGTCTCACAGTGGATGCGGGAACCAAACCACTTGCCCAGGTTAAAGATAAAGACCAGTTATGGTCATGCGATTGCATTGTGAACGAAACGTTGTGAAATCGATCAGAAAAGGTTGATCATCTAGCATATAAGTATTAGTGTGTACTGCAAGGTTCTCGAATCATCAAAATGATAAGAAATTTGGCCCAGTCTTCGTAAAGTTACAAGCACTGTACACAGAAAGATGTATATGGGACTACGCACACATGCGCGACACGTGCGTGTATCTCTCACACACCAATAGATAAACTAATTTAACAAATATATCAATTAGTACCCAAGACGAAAATCCAATTGAAACCAATTGAACACCAATTGAAATTTCAATTGGTCTCAATAGGTCTCAATAGGTTTTAACAGGTTTCAATGGGACCTCAGATGTTTTCAATTGGTCCAGATTGGCCCCATTGGACAAATTGGCCCCATTGGCCCCATTGGCCTAGGCCCCATTAGACTTTAATGGGTCCCCAATTGGTTTCAATTGGTCCGGATTGGCCCCATTGGACAAATTGGCCCCATTGGCCCCATTGGCCTAGGCCCCATTAGACTTTAATGGGTCCCCAATTGGTTTCAATTGGTCCGGATTGGCCCCATTGGACAAATTGGACCCATTGGCCTAGGCCCCATTAGACTTTAATGGGTCCCCAATTGGTTTCAATTGGACCAATTGGCCTTAATTTGGACTTCAATTGGTCCCATCGAAACCAATTGGCCAATTGAAACCAACAAATCTAGGCATCTCATGAGTATTCATTATCACTTTACACGTGTCACAGAAAAATAAATTTATCATGATTTGTTAAGCAAATTATGAAAATGCACATCAATTTTGTGATTTCTTTATTCCTTCAGCAATTATTAACCAATAGATTATTTTGTCTGATCATGTTACAATTACATTCACGTTTTAGCAATAGATATATTGATTTATATATTGATTATATGATTACTAACCAAAAAACAATATACATATTTAGTATATATATTTGTACGAGTCAATGTCACTGTAAATGAAACTCTTGAATTCACTTCAAATGATCTTTGTGATGAAGTTAATGCAAATGAGATTGGAATATACCTAATTGGTGGACAGTTGCCAATATCGATTATGAAGTATCAATAATTTATCACTGGTTCTTCTAACTGGATCGATTTACCAATTGAATCCCCATTGAATGCCCCCATTGAATCCCAATTCAATACCAATTGGCAATTTGGAGTAAATGGAAAGTGAAACAATGGGTACCCATTGAAACCAATTGGCGATTGGTCCCCATTGGAACCAATTGGCAATTGGTCCCCAATTTGGAGTAAATGGAAAGTGAAACAATGGGTACCCATTGAAACCAATTGGCAATTGGTCCCCATTGGAACCAATTGGCAATTGGTCCCCATTGGTTTCAATGGGTACCCATTGTTTCACTTTCCGTTTTTGGATTCAATGGGGACATTCAATGGGGATTCAATTGGATTTTCGTCTTGGGTAGGCGGTTTCCCGGCGAAATTGTTATCATCCTGTATTCGTCATAACATATTCTTTCACATGATTGGTAATAAGAGCTTCCATTTCATTTCTTGAAATTGGGGCGTTTTCAATACTGGTCTTTACCTTTAAGGACAATTTCCTTTATATTGGATTATCAGTCATTATCTTCCATATGCTCTTCCCTTTGACATGTAGAGGTGCAGTGATCTAGTTGATACATCCTCGGTAACTATGGATCATATGCCTTAGGGCAGCTGGGCTAAAGCCAGGGTATACTACTTTGTATGCGCCCTGAGCATCTGTCGGGCCCAGATGCATAAAACTTACCATTGGTGGTAACTTTGCCACCATTGGCAACTACCATGGTAATAGGGCTCAACAGCCAATCCAAATCAAGGTTTCCATGGCAGTTAAACATGAGACATTTGGGCTGGAATGTGATATATCAGTGTTGCTTGGAAGGCCTACCAAAAACAAACCGCCTAGGAAAGTTGTTTGTTATCGATCATGTACTGCTCATGTTTTGTTAATGCACCAAATTCCGGGTCCTCGGACTAACATGAAATCGAAATTCTTTAAAACTGAAATTCTCATATAAAGTGAAAGTAAATCATTTTAGTATGAAACCTCTGTAGGTCTTTTTCTCATACTTAATGTCATGGAAGCAAAGGTACCAATAATGAACACATCCGATTCTTTCTGCAGGATTTGGAAGCCTTTGTTGAAGGATCAGGTGATCATGGTGTCATCGTGTTCAGCCTGGTAAGACGCCCTCTATCATACTAGAAAAACTGTTTGTATAATAATAGAAAGTCCTATTCCTAAAGGATAATTTTCTCCTAGTCCAAACATTGAAAACACAACAAATGTTTAAACGGTTTTCTAACACATCGTAGCTTGGGATCACTTTTCACAGTGGTTCTATTTTGTTATGGTTCTTCGCCGATGAGTATCTTCAAACAGTGCAAAAAAATTCTGATGGTCTTCTTCTGCTTTTCAAAATAATTGGGAAGTTGGACCTCCTTTTACAAAATCCTAGGGCAGCCCGGATAGTGTGAATCTAAATTGTTCTCCTTTTATCACCACAGGGTTCAACCGATATGAACCTACTGAGTAAAGAAATGAACGAAGATTTCGCACAGGCGTTGAGTGAGCTGCCTCAAAGGGTACTATGGAAATTTGACGGCCTTCCTCCACGTAACCTTGGTAACAACACCCGCCTTATGTCATGGTTACCACAGCGTGACCTACTCGGTAAAGAACTATGCGTCTTATTTTGTTTTAAACGAAAACTGTGAATCTTTTTTTACTGGTTAAGGAGATATTTATTCCAATATTGATTACCGTCGCCTGTTTGTTAACTTCACATGTCAGAATTCAAACTCATTGTAATACGAATTTTCACTAAGCATCTTCGAACTAAAAAAGTGAAAGCATCAAATTCATCGTTGTTCTTTCAACATGTCCACGTAAAAACACATGTGTCAATAGCAATGGTCATTTTGATATAACCACCTTTCCTCCCAGTTTTTTAAAGTCTATCATTAGCTATTCATAATCATTAAGTCGTTTCTTCTCCATGGTCGAGATACTATTGGCGTTTTTCCAGTTTTCCAACTGGGATTCTAAATAGCCTTTAGACAAGGCTGCATGTCTGATAGACGCCGACCAACTAAAAAGAGACTTATCGCGAAAACCCGAGTGAACGGCAGAGCGAGTGGCCCAGCGGCTACCGCCACTCGATCACCATTCACCTTGGGTCTCAAGATTCATCTCAGCCTCTGATTTGGGTGGAAAATAGCCAGAGTCACGTGGCCTTGTCAAAAGGCTAGGGTTGTAAGGGCTTGAGATTATTTTTTGTTTTCTTTAATCCCCAGCTCACCCCAAAACAAAACTCCTCATCTACCACGGAGGACTGGCCGGGGTCTACGAGGCCATGCACCTCCAGAAGCCCATGGTGATCCTCCCTCTCTTTGGTGATCAGCCTGCCATAGCGGCCCGGGTTGCAAAGAAGGGGATGGGGGTTGTCTTGTCGAAGGCCACTCTCTCAGCTGAGGTCATCAAATCAGCGATCCTGCAAGTCCTTATCGATCCAAGGTGAGTTTTCGCTTTTCCCCTTGACTTATAATTAATCAATATAGCGTTTTACCAGTGTTTGAATACCTCGGTCTGTTGGTTCACTTAAGATTCTCTACTCCACTTTATTAGGAGCTTTCCAGTCTGGCGGCCATCTTACAAATAGGCTATTCCGTCAACACTGACATTCGAATCCTATCGTGTACACGTTGAACACCTGGGTGGAGAGAGGCAATCCAAATGAAATGCCTTCCTTAATTTGAAGAGCCAATGCCTATAGTAATTTCAAATTAAACAAAATCATGACATTCTCAATTTTAGTCCGATTTCATGCAAACTTTCACAAGTCGACTTCTCTGATTTTGTTAACGTCCTAAGCAACGTCCTGAGCATATCCCTGATCATAGATCAAACTATCATGCTAACCGTAATATTATCGTGCCGTTTTCCTTTTCAAGGGGGGCTCACTGTGGTGGACGATTTGGCGAACTAACTAGTTTCCCAAGACCCATAGTAATGACACCATGCACTGTAATTTGGTTATACACTGTAGCAGGCAAGGTTCAATCTGCAATTTAATAAACAGATAAACAATAATAAGTCAACTTGCATAAACTGACATGAAAATAACATATGTAACAAATTAAATATACCCTGACAATCCTAATAACTATCTGTTATCATAACAAAGGAAAACAAACAATACCTTCTTCACTATAAATCTAGTGACTAAATACATGCAACAATTAATGACTCACCGACGGTGACTTTGTCATTCTTCAAGGTCATATCATTATACTACTACGTACACGTACATTAAGACGCACTACCGTGCACGACAACTACGTAACCTACATACACGTGTACAATCTTTCACGTGCACGACTCATTCATGTCATAATTTCATCAACTCAAATTAGTGTCATAAACATCATATTTCATTAAGCTATCTAGCTGTAAAGACAATATAACTCATAAACTTCAAGATAACATATTCATTTCTACTTACATCATTGGGCTTGTATCACAAAATTAAACGAAAACTTAGGCAACTCTGGGAGGCAACTATCCCATGACGTGGAAAATCAGTAACACACAAAATCCAGTACGCCCTCAAGCGACCTAATCCATACACTTTCTACAAAGCGACGCCTGTGACATCACAAGCATCGGCTTCAAGCAGAAAGTCATCCTGTACTCCACATTCCGGCCCTCTTAAATGAGAAGCCTTTCTGAACATTTAACAATACTTTGTTCATTTGAAACATTTCAAAATTAAGTCTATCCACAATTGCTACTCGCAATAAATCATTGTTCCTTTAAATTCTTCAACTTCTTATACTGTTCAAGTGACCTTTTTTTTTCTTCACACCTTTAAATAACTAATCACCTTTAACCTATTTAATGATCTTGACCATTAATATCAACATAAAATATCTGAAGAGTTTCTTTTCAGCAAACAACTAAGTAATTTCAAAAGCTTTGACATTTGCATAAAATGCACCAAGTGTATATCAAATGCACTACATAAAGCAAATATCCTTCTCAACATCACCATGACAACCATATCAGAACTCCCAACATTCCTTGTCAGAATTTAGAATCATTTTGGAAAACATCGACTCCAAAGATAACTGTAAGCAACCATGCTGCTTCCTCACTATAATTCCGACACAGGAATGACACTAAAAATGTTTTAATCCAAAACTAAATCCTCCTACTGACTCAGACGATGGGAGATCTGAGAGTGATGTGTCAAGTTAAACATACAACCAACAACTAGACTGTACTGTAAACACACATTTTATGTTTGTAAGTAACTTTCTACTCGAGCTTCATATGAAGAGCTGAACTCCTGACCTTTCCTATTTTAATACCCTTTGTATTTGTAACACTGTACTAAAAGGCAAACTACATGTATACTACATGTGCCTTGACATGAGGAAGGATAAATTTCCAAATATGCTTAATTCCTGATAATCAGGCCTACTTTCAAATAAAATTTGCATATATTGCATTAATCAACATGACAACTAGTAGAACCTTTCTACACACAACTCACATTTTCTGTGTCAGAATATGTAATAATCCTTTACAACTTTACCACTATACTACCAAGAAAATGATATGCAAACCAATTCTGGAATAGATTCCATCTTAAACCAGAATGTTAAATGAAGCAATACTTTTACATAAGTAAATATACAGTAATCTGATAATGACTGAATCTACATGTAAATTACCATCAAACAACATACACAACTGCACATTTACTGCAACTTAAATGCTGCTAAATGCCATGTTTACATTTTACACTGGAAAAATAACAAATCGTGTGAAAATTTGCAAATTACTCCATAACTTCAAGTGTAATACACTAATGTTCATTAGTTCATGAGTCTTTGAATTGCAGACAGTCATTTTTCTATAAATGTATCAGTTTATGTCCTCTTCTTGTAAGCCGTTCAGTTTCTCAATTCTCAGTTATCAGTCACTGTTGAGTTGCTATGGTGACTAAATCTGAATCGTCGGACAGATCACTAGACGATCCATATCTCAACAAAAAATTATATCCTCGCGTTGAATACGAATTGTCACATTTTGACACTTTCACGTAAAACAAATGTTGGCGATATCATGACATCACATTTCATGATAGTAACATTTATGCACTAATTGGATCTTTCTGATTTCCAATCAAAAATCACTGACAAACGATCTTCATATGATCATATCTCTGCGACGACATCCTCTGAGACACAAATTCTCCTTGATCATGAAATTTATATATCTCAAAAATTTCTCTTTCTTATATGATTAAACATCACGTGATCCATGAATTCCAAATGAGGGCAATTAACAATCTCCTTCCAAAATCAGGCACAATTTCGAGATAGGACGAACAATTACGCTATTCTTTGTCTTGATGTTCGCACTACGGGTGAAGCCTTTCTTGTCTGGGAAAGTTTGAAGCACTCTTCCCAGCAGCCACGAATTCCGCGGAGTGTTTGCATCGGCAACCAGCACCAAGTCACCAATCTGAAGATTGCGATGCGATGGTACCCATCTTTCTCTTCTTTGCAACTGCGGTAAGTACTCTCTAGACCAGCGCCTCCAGAATACGTCGGCGAGATACTGTATTTGACGCCACCTCCTTCTCGAGTATACATCTGATCTGTCCGTCACTGTTGGTGGCAGTTGCGGCTTCCTGTTCAGCAGAAGTAGGTGATTGGGAGTCAAGGCCTCAAGATCATTGACATCATCTGATACTCTTGTTAGAGGCCTGTTGTTGACGATGCTCTCAATTTCGCAGAAGAGAGTTGTCAGACTTTCACCTGAGAGCACCTGTTGCTTAGTTACTGCCAGTATGAGCTTTCTCACAGTCCCAATCTGCCTTTCCCAGACTCCTCCAAAATGGGAAGCAGTGGGTGGGTTGAATGTCCATTTGATGCCTTTCTGGAGCAGGTCTGCGCTGATTTGAGCTTTGTTCCATCCATCTATTTCTCTTTTCAGCTCTCTCTCAGCGCCCACAAGATTAGTGCCATTATCTGAGAGCATCTCCTTGATATTGCCCCTGCGAGCGATGAAACGACGAATGGCACTGATACAAGAGTCCGTATCCAAAGAATGAGCGACTTCCAAATGAATGGCGCGTGTGGTAAGACATGTAAACATGACTCCATATCTCTTCTCCATGCTGCGACCCCTTTTAACCTCAAAGGGGCCGAAATAGTCAATGCCAACCTTGGAAAATGGAGGCTCGTCAGGTAACAGTCTATTCTCAGGCAGGTCAGCCATCTTCTGACTCATCATCTTTCCTCTTTGCCGCCTGCACATGACACATCTGCTAATCATGCTCCTGATAGCTGCTCCTGCTCCAAGCATCCAATACTTCTCACGGAGCACAGAAAGGACATAATTTCTTCCACTATGCCCTGCCTTTACATGAACATCTCTCAAGATCAGATCTGACACGTGACTTCCCTTGGGTAAGAGGACTGGGTGTTTAGCTTCTAATGGTAGAGCTGATCTCTCCAATCTTCCTCCAACTCTAAGAAGACCCTCGTCTATCTTAGGGTCCAGCTTGTAGAGTTGACTTGTCTTTGTCACTTTACCATCTGAATCGGTCAATGATTCAATCTCCTTCTGGAAGAAACATTTTTGCACGTAATGCAAAATTCTCTTCTCTGCTTTCTGCATGTCGTCGTAACTGATCCTTTTGAAGTCCCTCAGCTCTTGCTCTGTCTGGGTTTTTCCTTTGAGTTTCAACCACTGCATGAACTTCAATAGCCAGCTCACTCCCCTCCTCAGCTTATACCAGGAGGAATATGTGTTGATAAGCCTTTCCAATGACTTCTCCTCTGACTGAGTTGTGAATGCACTGGCATTTTCTGTAGGTGGTTTGATTTCTGGATCACTTGGTGGCACTTGCAGATCAGCTGGAGCGATAGGCCATTCCATCTCATCAGCACATAGGAAGGATGGTCCCTTGAGCCATCTGCCATTGAGCTTGTCTGGCGTTAGACCTCTTGATACATCATCAGCTGGATTCTTTTCTGTGTTGACATATCTCCACTGCCTGGGCTCCGAGGCATCACGGATGGTAGATATCCTGTTAGCCACAAATGTCCGAAAGCGCTTGTTGTCACTGCGGATGTAATGGAGGACTATTGTGCTATCTGTCCAAAAGACAGACTCATTCAAGGGAAAGTCCAGCTCCTTTCTGATCTTTCTATCCATTGTGACTGCAAGTGCTGCCGCCATGAGCTCTAAGCGAGGTATTGTCATCTTCTTCAGAGGTGCTAATTTTGCTTTAGCCAGAATTATGTTGCAATGGACTTGTCCTCCTTCACTGGTCATGCGCAGGTAAGACACTACACCGTACGCCGACTCAGATGCATCACAGAAATGATGCAGTTGGTACTCGTTCACATCATCAAAGGGTCTGAAACACCTGCTCACTCTGAAGTTGCTCATTAAGGGAAGCCATTCTTTCCATTTTAGCCATCTGGAATGGTGTTCATCTGGAACTGGGTCATCAAATCCAAGCTTCAGAGCAGTTAGATCCTGGAGGATTCTCTTGGCAACCAAGACGAATGGACTGGCATATCCATAGGGGTCATATATTGATGCTATCTCACTCAGAATTCCCCTCCTCGTTACTGGTTTGCCCTTGGGGGTGATCTTATAGGTGATGCAGTCCAGTTCTACATCCCATGTTACTCCAAGTGCCCTTTCTGCTGGTAAGGCATCCCGATTCAAATCGAGTCCCACAATGTTTTTAGCTCGATCTTCCAAAGGCACAGACTTGATCACAGCTGGGCTGTTGCTTATCCACTTGGTCACTTCGAATCCACCCCTCTTGAGCAGCGTCATGAGTTCAGCTACAAGCTTGATTGCATCATCTTCTGTTTTGCATGAAACGAGGCAGTCATCTACATAGAAGTTACGACCGACAGCATCCACTGCTTCTGGAGAATATTCGGTCTTGAATTCTTCAGCTGTATGTCTAAGGGCAAAATTACAAACACTTGGGCTCCATGTCCCACCGAATAGGTGAACACACATCCTGTAAGCCTTAGGATGTTGGATAAGATCTCCTTCTGGCCACCACAGGAAGCGAAGAAAGTCTCTCTGCTCTGGTGGGACTCTTACTTGGTGAAACATTGCCCTTATGTCTCCCATAATGGCTATAGGTTCTTGGCGAAATCTGAGCAAAACACCAAGAAGGTTGTTCGTCAAGTCTGGACCTTGAAGTACCGCATCGTTCAAAGAAGTTCCATTGTACTTGGAAGCACAATCGAAGACAATTCTTGTCTTTTCTGGTTTATTTGGATTGAATACCGGGTGATGCGGTAAGTACCAGACTCCTTCATCCTTCCCAAGATCCTGGTCCTTAACCTCTTCAGCATACCCTTCATCCAACAAAGACCTCATTCCTTCACTGTACTTAGCATGTAGACAATCATCCTTTACCAGTCTTCTCTTCAGTGACTCTAGTCTGGTTAGTGCAACTTGGATGTTATTCGGCAGATCTTCAGGCCTCTTCCGAAATGGAATGGGAAGTTGATAGTGATCACCATCTCTGCAAACTCCTTCCTGCCAGGTCTTCAAGGCTTTCTGATCATTGATGGACATGCTCCTTTCATCATCATGAAGGTATTCTGTCCCTTCTAGCTTCCAAAATTTGTGAACTTGTTCTTCCAGGAGCATGTTACCGTCATCAGAGATGAAGCTAGACGAGGCTTGGAAACTCTGCAAACTACTTCCATTTCCAAGTGGACCATTTAACGTCCATCCAAGTATTGTCTTGACAGCATAAACTTCACCAGGTTTACCTGCTTTGATTTCAAGTGGCATCAGGGCTTCAGGCACATCTTGTCCAATCAGTATGGTTACTTGATTCTTCCCCGTGACTGGAAGATCAATACCACAAAGATGTTGATATTTCGAAATATCTTCCTCCCTGGCCATGTTTGCAGTACTGATGTTCAGGCTGGGACGAGTTAGAAATTCAGCCTCTATCATCTTGTCTGCTGTGGAACCTTTAACCCTCAACTTGACGGCTTCGCATTCCATTGCTCTTTTAGGGCTTTCCAGTGTTGAGACCTGAATGACTTTCTTTTTCCCCTTTGTCTGGAGCACATCTATTAATTCTTGCAGACAGAATGAGTTCGTAGAACCAGGGTCCAGCAAAGCTAAGGTCTCAATGCTTTCTCCACCATCTGCAGCACTGACAGTAACCGGAATTATTGGAAGGGCTACTTTGCAACCTCCGGCCCTCGTGGCATTGGAACTAGCATGAGATGCTACATCATAGTCAGTTTGAGTTGATGAGTCATTCGATTCCCTTCTTGTTCTCCAAGGTGTAGGATTTCCTGAAGATGGTCTCATCCTTCTCCCGGTATGGAGGAACTTGGTATGCCTTTGATTGCACCCCTTGACTGAGCAGGTCCTATTAAGGATGCACTTTGAGGATACATGACCAGGTAACAAGCAATTGAAACAAAGCCTGTTCTTGAAGGCAAAATCAAAGCGTTCATCAGGCTCCATGGCTTTAAATTCCTGGCAACCGAAAAGGTCATGGCTGTCCTGACACATGATGCAGTTCTTGGTCGATGAATTCACAGAGGTAGTAAACATGCTTGCCTGACCTCTACCTGACACAGTTCTTTCCTTAACAATCCTTGCATTTCCTAGATTCTTTGGTCCACCCATAAGTAAGGCTCCAAATACAGGATCATTGAGTTCATCAGCTGCGCCGGTGATGAATTCAACTGCATGCTGGATGTTAGGCTGTCTGCCATTATCCCTGATGGTCTTTACGAAACGCAACCACCGGCTCTTCAGATGGAATGGCAAACGTTCAATGACCTTCACCAGCTCACTTCTGCTGCTCATCTCGTGAAGCATCCCAAGGGCCATCAAAGTTTCAGCACAGGTCTTTAGCTGATCAGCAAAATCCCTCAGATGTTTAGGATTGCTCTGAATAATTGGACCTTCCGTGACCTTCCTAATCCAGGCATCACTGATCTTATGGTCACTTCCAAAGCGATCTATCAGCAGCGTTCTGGCATGAAAGTACCCATCATCTTGATGCATCATGAGACAACATTGGATTATGTCTTTGGCAGCTCCAGTACAAAGATGATACAACTTGAGCAGCTTGGCGTTATTGTCCAATGACGAATTTCCAATGACACTATCAAATGATCGTATGAACTCAAAGAAATTCAACGGGTTACCATCAAAAGACATAATGTTGGTACTTGAAATTGTGATGGCTTCCAACAGCTGTTGATGTTGTCTCTGTCCTTGCTGTAGATGATGTAAGATGTCAGAGTCCATCTTTCCAGTTATCTTATCATCTTGACTGGTCAGTATCTGGTTTTCACTTGCTGGCTTCATTCTAGCAGGAGTTGATGAACCTTGTTGTGAAGGTTCAGACTTGGAAGGCTCAGTCTTCTGTTCTATGGACCGAGTACCTCTATATACGGTTTCCTCCGCTTCAGCGATCTTTAATCTAGTCTTCAGAAGAAGCTCAGCTTTCCGTTGTTTAAGCTTCATTTCTTCTATCTCAAGTTCTTGTTGGTCTTTAAGAGCTGCTACTTCTGCGGCTAAGGCAGCTCTGTTAGCCTTCGCCCGTATCCTCCAACTCGCCGAGGTGGTGCTACTCCCTCTTTGGCTAGCTGAGTCCTCAGGTCTAATACTGTCCGACTTGTGGTCCTTGAAGGTAACCTCTGGATCTGTGCTCATATCTATGCCGGTTACGCTCATGATGGAGGATATGACAGTCACACAAGTTGATATTGAACTGTTGTGGTGGACGATTTGGCGAACTAACTAGTTGCCCAAGACCCATAGTAATGACACCATGCACTGTAATTTGGTTATACACTGTAGCAGGCAAGGTTCAATCTGCAATTTAATAAACAGATAAACAATAATAAGTCAACTTGCATAAACTGACATGAAAATAACATATGTAACAAATTAAATATACCCTGACAATCCTAATAACTATCTGTTATCATAACAAAGGAAAACAAACAATACCTTCTTCACTATAAATCTAGTGACTAAATACATGCAACAATTAATGACTCACCGACGGTGACTTTGTCATTCTTCAAGGTCATATCATTATACTACTACGTACACGTACATTAAGACGCACTACCGTGCACGACAACTACGTAACCTACATACACGTGTACAATCTTTCACGTGCACGACTCATTCATGTCATAATTTCATCAACTCAAATTAGTGTCATAAACATCATATATCATTAAGCTATCTAGCTGTAAAGACAATATAACTCATAAACTTCAAGATAACATATTCATTTCTACTTACATCATTGGGCTTGTATCACAAAATTAAACGAAAACTTAGGCAACTCTGGGAGGCAACTATCCCATGACGTGGAAAATCAGTAACACACAAAATCCAGTACGCCCTCAAGCGACCTAATCCATACACTTTCTACAAAGCGACGCCTGTGACATCACAAGCATCGGCTTCAAGCAGAAAGTCATCCTGTACTCCACACTCACTTTACTTTTTTTAATTACTATTTCATCGTCAGTTATAAAGCCAACGTTGAGAAATTTGGATCCATCAGTAAGGATACAATCGTCAGCCCGATGGAGACTGCCATGTTTTGGATAGAACACATCGTCAACTTTGGCGGCTCGCATCTCAAGTCTAGAGCTGGGGAGTTGAATATCATCACTCTCAACTCACTTGATGTCATCGGGTTCCTCATTGGCATCGTCCTGTTTGGACTATACCTCGATTTTCTTATCCTTAGTTCATGTTACCGCTGTTGTATTACCAGAAATAAAACTAGAAAATCAAAATCAGACTGACAGTCTGAAATTGTGGCAAATCCGTATTAGTAATCTCGAATATAAAATCATACGAACATAAATTTTAGAGCACCTTAGTTAATCATCCATCACAATTGTATATGATAAGTTTTTATACTTTCCTCAAAATAAAGACATTTCTTTCTTTTATTGCGTAAATGATGTATAATCTCCTTTTCTATATAAACTTAAATTAAATGTACTAAAGCAACGAATGTTCTGATGCTTAAATTGCCTCATGGAATCTTTTATGACTTCTATGTATTTTTACATTTATATTTATGAATTGCAATAAGTATATCCTGTTAATATTGTCTGAATACTCTGTGAATTAAAAGTGACTGATAAGATTTATGTTAATTTGAAGTAAGTAAGTTCAGTAATTCAAGCATTTTTTACGTTTAGCTCGATACCTAACCTCTTAGTTTTCATTCTGTTATGTTATTATGTTATATTATAACCGAAATAAATTACCTTCGAAGAAATCGTGGACATGGTGATAAGTATTGTGACTATTAAATGATTTTGTGTGTGTATAGATTTGTTGTATTTCTCAACATTGATTGGGCAATATTAACTGAAGCAGACGAAAAGTGCGTAATGTTTAGGGGTGGGGATAATTTTCCAGGGGGTAATTGTCATTGGGGTAATTTTCCAGGGGTAATTTTCCGGGGGTGATTGTCCTGAAACGTAAATTATTACCTCGGTCATTGGATTCAAATCCGCACTTGATACTGCACACGCTCTGCTTCCTGGGAAGTAATCCGGCCTGTCATCTTTTTACAAGCACACCCATGCTAATCCAACCACATTAACATTTGCATCCTACCAGGTACCCATTTAACACCTGGGCGGAGATTGGCAAATGACTTGCCAAAGGACATTAATGCCAAGGTGGGACTTGAACCGCGAACCATGTGATCCATAGTCCGTTGTCATACCCAATATACCAAGATACCTCTACTAAACACCTTTACTAAACTAAAAACATAGATATTACATCTTCAACTGACACAATTTTGAGTGGTATAAAACATTTGATGTCTATAAACTTCAAGTTGTTTTTGTTAACAATGACATTACTATATCTGAAATGGACCGAACATGCTCGGATTACAAAGATCATAGTAATGATAATAATAATAATAATAATGATAATAATAATACAGTCAAACCTGTCTATAGCGACCACCCAAGGGAAATATAAAAAGTGGCCTTTGTAGACAGGCTCCTTTAGTACATGATTCAATGAGAGACCATTTTCAAGGGAAACAACAAATGTGGCCTTTGTAGACAGGTGGTCTTTGTAGACAGGTGGTCACTAAAGCAGGTTTGACTGTACTTTCGGGATGGTACATCCTAACAATGCGCTTTATAAAGGGAATGGGGCAGTTGTCGAAGGAGCACTTATCAGATTTTAATAGGGTACTTTATCAGAGGTGAAAAGGGACATTTTTAGAAAGTTAAGGGGATCTTATGACATTTTTTTTGTTTTGTTTTTTTGTTTTTTTTTGGGGGGGGGGGTGCACTTGTCACAAGGACCAGGGGCAGTTAAAAGAAGAGGAAGGGGCACTTAGGGGGTACTTAAGGGGTATCTTGTGATATCAGACGGACTCTACCTACCTTCAAGTGCAACGTACGAACGAAAGCTCGAAAGATCACTTTTCGTGACCTTTTCTTCCTGCTGGCCTGGACCCACGTACACTTGTGTCTGTGTCAACAGGCCTTATTCAAACATTCAAGTTCTCGTTCAATGTGACCATGCACACATTGCAGCGAGTATCACGGTTCGCAAATACATGGAGTGCTCGTTAAACATTGGTGCAATGATTCAGCTCATTTTCATAGCTGTAAAATATGAATGATCACAGAACATTGTGCCCAGGTAAACAGATTGATTTGAGAGCCGTGATAGAGAAGACAGCAGAGAGGACTGAGAGGAGTGTCATACGTAGACAAAATTACACCAGATTGTTGAAGACCATTATCTACCGGCGACTATGGCATCATTCCGCTTCCCCGTCGTGCTTGCAATGGGCATGGCATTGATTATGGTCATACCGAGAGCGAACGGGGCTAAATTTCTGGCAACGTTGTTTCACCCGATGGCACAAGCCTCACATAACCGTTTTGTAGGCGGCATCACTACCAGTCTCATCGGCCGAGGCCACGAAGTCACCGTCCTTGCAGCAGATACGTATGATTTCAAAGGCCTCAAAAAAGACGTTGCCGCTACAAGGGTGCTCACGTTTAAGGTATGACCTGAAGAGTTTGGAATCCATAACACGTAACATCCATGAGGCTGAGTTTTGATAAAGAGAGAGAGAGAGAGAGGGAGATGGGGGGGGGGGGGGCGGGAGAGAGAAAGAAAATAAAAGAGAGGGAGAGAGAGGGAGAGAGAGAGAGGAAAGAGAGAGTGAGAAAGAGTACGAGAGAGAGAAGAGAGAGAGAGAGAGAGAGAGAGAAGGAAAAAAGGGGAAAGAATCCTCCATATTGTAAGATTTGGAGCGACGATCCTGGTCCAGTTATATCATCACTGTATTATATAATAATAAAATCACTCTTTAAAAAGTCCAAGGGCCTTTAAAATATTGGAATATATATCTAAAGGTCTAGTAACTTTTGGAATTAAAATCACATTCACTTTCTGTAAGGCCAAAACAAAAAAAAATCATTTGGTTGTCCTCGATTGCTCTTCTGGAGTAGGGGCGGGCGGGCGGGCGGGCGTGTTTTTTTTTTCTTCTTCTTCTTTTAATTTCATTTTTTGTGTGTCTTTAAAAAATATAACAAAATCCCCCAATTTTTTTTTTTTATAAATATTTTTCCATAATTTCTTTTCTTTTTCTTTTTTTTTTTTTTTGGGGGGGGGGGGGGGATGTCAAGCATTTAAACAAACAAAGTCTATAAAACACTTTAATATGGTAAAAAAAAACTAATTTAATGTACAATGAATATCAAGACCAAGACAGAAACTACTTATAACTACTTGCGCCCTCTATGTAGCAAACAATGCCTAATCGGTGACCATTGGTCCCCCATGATCCTCTTTATCTTATGTTAACTGAGAGCTGATTTGATGGGATAACCACCTGTCCAGTTACCTTGCAGAGTGGTCTTATCCCTCCTGTAATCTAGTAAAGATGGGCTTTAAAATGAGTTTAAGAATGCTCAGAACCTGATTTAAATGAACGGCATCTTGACATAGAAAAAATAAAAATGGCAAGTTTGCTAAATACAGAATTGCGTAGTGAAAAGACCAAACTGGCAACGGGACGCATTTGGATACTTGCAAAAATGCATAAAATGGTATGTTTGGCATTTAAAAAAATAAAAATGACGAGCGGGCGGTCGAGGACAACGAAATAATTTTTTTGTTGGCCTAATGTGCACACAGTGAGGAAAACCATCTTTTATTTTATGAAGGTTATTTGGTGTTTTCATTCCAGAGCTTTATACACAGACTTTGGCCAACTTGGTTTACTTTGTCACAGCATGGCGTATATACCTTTGTTATGTGCTTACCCGAAATAATAACTAAAATAAAAGATAAAACGAAGCAGTATTCGACATATTGGGCCCAACTTTAAAACTGAGATGGCCAAACTCTACTAATAATCATGATCAAGTGCTCTGTTTCCTTCCAGGCCCAAACGCCCTCTTCGGTTAGGAAAGAGATGGGAAAGGCGCTGTCCGCTGATCAAGCCAGCAATCCTACGTTTCAGCTGCTATCGGAATTAGCAAGATTAGCAATGATGTTAAAGGCACTTAATTACATCGCAGTTCAGAACTGTGCGGATATGTTCGACAATCGTGACGTCATGAATGGCCTCCTGAAGGAGAAGTTTGATCTTCTTCTCGTGGAGATGTTCGAACCCTGCGATGCCTTGTTGGCGGAATATCTTAATGGTAACTCAGGGGAGTGTTTCACAAAGACTAAGATAACTATGACAGGCCGTTAAGGCCACTAATTCCTCAAACCATTCCTAGCATTGGTTTCTCAAGTGACGTACAAATCATGGTCACAAATCTCCAGAATTTTCAGTTTTGATAGTTAAATGGGCCTTGCTATTGCACATTACTGTATAATGAATGACTTGGCGTTTTCTGCCTTTATTTTGAATATTTAACTTTTATAAATGTATTTTTGATTTCAGTACCATTTGTCGTTATGACGGGGTCACTTCGTCATCCTGTATTCAACGAGCACATCTACAACATTCCCATTCCTTCATCGTATGTGCCATTTAATCCTTCTGGCGCCCTCACCGACGAGATGAGCTTTAGCCAAAGGTTGCAGAACTTTTTAGAGGCTAACGTTTTCCGGAAGCTACTTGATTACATGCAGATATCCTCCTTCCGGTGAGTTCTTGCAATGATACAATTGTACCGACCAGAATATTTCATCGGACGTTAACTCATAGCCTGCCATAAGGCTTCATGCACGCTATCGCTATGCTGCTTCGTACATGCGAGAGAGCTACCTATTGAGTGCCATGTGCGTGCAATGCAGCATTCGTAATAGCAGTTATTGTTCATGGTCATTGGACTGTGCTGTGTGTTTTGCACTCGCCATTCATTCGCCGTGACAGCGCTATCGGAATGTGATGCTTAATCATATTCTTGAGTTCAAACAAAACGAAACTTCTTGGAAATTATGTTCGCTGAAAATTTTGAGTCTTTTGTGGCGGTCGAGGCGATTATCCCAATTATGTCTTCTGTCTTTGTTAATAGCACAGCTGTTATTACATTTTCTACGAAATTTCGTTCGGTAGATCTCATGTATCATCTCTATCATCTGCTGTGTATTGTGTATGAATCCATTTTTAAGCCATTCCTAGAACCCATCGTTATCTCTTGAGGCTTGTTTAGATGCGTTTCGTTTGTTTCTTTGTTGTTTTGTTTTTACAACTTGTAAATGAATGGCAACTGCGCTCAACAAAGGCCCTGCGCGCATTCACTGAACTCTGTGTTATAAGATACACGATGTGAAGCACAGTACAATTACTTTTTTATGTAAAAAAAGAACAAAAGAAAACGCTGCGATTTACTGCGTTATATTTAAACGAGGCTTCAGGATAATAGATGTGGGCTGTAGGGTTGTATGTCCACAACGAAGTGAATAAAGCGAGGGGAAAAGCAAGAAAGAGAAACGCTTTTGTGGGAATAATATTCTTGATCAAAGGTCTTTCTCCTTGTATTTTCAGGACCATACAGTTGCAACATAACATCGGTACGGCATTTTCGGTCAGGGAGCTGATAGGGCGAGCTGAGCTTTGGTTATGCCACATTGACTTTGCCCTTGACTTCCCGCATCCCATCGCTCCGAACTGGATCTCGATTGCCGGCTTGTTGTCTGATGCGGAGACAAAGCCACTCCCTAAGGTACGAGTCCCCCCCCCCCACCTCCTCCCACCTAGCTACATTTGGTTTTTAAGTCGATGGGAGGAATGCTGTTTGCCTTATAGACCCACTACTGCTAAACGAAATCGGGTTTTCGTCACTTTTTTGTTCATCAGTTCCATAGGAAATCAATTTTTTCTATTGATATGTGCGTGAGACCTCGAATGTGCGTTCCTTTAAAGCCCCACTGTCCTACTTGTAGCTACTTGCTCCCTCTATATAGAAAACTTCCCCAATCGGTGCATGTTGGTCCCCCATGATCCTCTTTTTCTTATGTTAGTTGAGAGCTGAGTTAATGAGATAGCCACCTGTAACAGTGAAATCGTTGGCTCGCTGGGTGGTCTAATCCCTTCTAGTTGAAGTAGTAAAACCTGCCTTTCATAATTCGGTGCATTGTTTCCTGTACGATAAACACCATGCATGTACTATGTGTTTTCTGCCCATTCATTCCATTCAAACATGACAAATACTTCGATATGATTGTTGGTGATACGGGCATGAATCATTGATCCATGGTCATTTCAAGATATTCATTATTGGTTGAAAGAAATGGATGAATATGATAATATATGTCGTACGGGACACATTGCACGAATTCGCACTAAGACTTCGTTCAAATATGGCGTGGCAAAACCCACCAAAATACGCTCGGTGCCCGGGCGTTCACCGCCCGGGCACCGACCTAATCGAGCGTTCGCCGTCGAGCGATTTAGGTCAAAAATCGAATCCGCTAGGTCAAAGGCTGCCGACCGATTTTTGACTCGCCGCCCAGTGACCGACTGATCTCCCAGCGGCGACTGGGCAGTGCCCGTTCGGCAGCCTTTGATCTAGCGGCTTCGATTTTTGACCTAAATCGCTCGACGGCGAACGCTCGATTAGGTCGGTGCCTGGGCGAAATTGGCTCAAAACTCGCCGCCCGGCCGCCGAGCAGGCTACTTTTAGGTGTTGTGACGAAAGCTTCATATCTAAACGAGCCTTGAATGGGCCTGAGTGTTAACACAATGTCATCTTCTTATATTTGGCTACGTTCCGCATTTAAAGGGGTGTAGCATGGCAAATACTGTTTAACGCCGAAACAGACTGAAGTTCTCCTCACGCTTCGGTTTCGCGTATGTTGCACGCACGAGAATACTGCAGTTGCTTCGTCCGTAGTCGTATTATACCCGATTGGTCCCAAGGCAGGCCACGAGAAAGACACGTAGTCTCGTCATGCAACACCCTCTTTAATAGGGGACGTCAAAACCCAGCCACTGCTATACATGTTTGAGAAATGGATCTGAAAATGATTGATGCATGCTTGTTTTTCAGGACCTAGAAGACTTTGTGCAAGGGTCTGGGGATCATGGCGTCATTGTTTTCAGTCTGGTAAGAACAAAAAAAAATTGTGTTTCATAATTATAACAATGATAATGATAGTGGGTTCTTATATAAAGCTCATGTCTGGCAGACATTACACTCATGACGCTTCACCCGGCTTGGGCATGGCTGCTAATATAGGGCGCTAGCATTCTAAGAAATTAATTCCTGTCATTTCTTTTAGCTTATAGGCCTACAGTGCGTCCCAGAAAAAACGAAACCGAGAATAATCAATGTTTTATCATAACTTAATCACAATTATAATTAATAAATGACACATACTTGTAAAGCTTATATCCTCCTCTTGTATTTGATGCAATTCGTATGATGCATGTTTTACGCGTGAGTGATTAAAAACAATTTAAAGAGAGGGTACCAACATTTATTTGGCTGGTATCTAAATTTCAAAGGGATAATAAAATTTATAGAAATTTCATTTCTTGCCCTTTCATATGACACCTCAATCAGGAAAAATGAGCCAGGAATAACAAAGTTCTGTTTGTTTAAAGTAATGCTTGCATTTCCTTAATTTGATTAAACGAATTCGTTTTCACTGGCTGCTTGTCGTAGCAAGAAACAGAGTTGACAAAAGACTTAACTCCGTAATTTAGATACCGCCCGCCAACTTCTAACATTGAATTTTATTGCTCTCATATCTTATGTCCAGGGTTCAACGGATATGAATCTCCTGAACTCAGAAAACGACGAACTCTTCGCCAAGGCGTTCAGTCAGCTACCCCAGCGAGTACTCTGGAAATATATCGGCTCTCCACCCCGTTACCTTGGTAACAACACCCGCCTTATGTCATGGCTTCCACAGTCCGATCTCCTAGGTAAATAGAAACTTACATTTCGTTCAAATATGAGGCGATAAACCGCCTAAAGATATATCCCACATACCAAGAAGCTAGTTACACGATTGGTCGAAATGTGATCAAATAATAGTTTGTATATCTTGACGGTCGTACATAATAAAATTTATCGCTGATGCCGCATAGACTTACAAGCTAGGAGCTCATGCCATGGTTTAGCAAAATACGAGGTTAATGCGGATCGTACATGCATGTATGCGCTACAACGCAGAAACAGCTCGCTACTTGATTTTAATAATGACTTTTGTATTCATCATTTATCTTCTCTTTCGAAAAGTATTGTCGATGTGGAACATTAAGCAAATATTTAGATCTGCCATTTGTCTTTTGATATTACGCAGTGTTTTTGTTTCTATTAGACGAACATCACTGAGCTTTATCGGAGTGTTTAACTCTTTGGTTGCTTACTTCGACTCTCTCCACGGACGCTCAATTTCTGCGTGCAACAGTAGGAGCAGTGGGTGGAAAGATTGCTTTATGCAACTCACTTGCTTTGCAAAATTACCAATTCAAAACCCTTTTTATAACATGCATGGATTACTCTTGAACTGGAAACAATTAATCTTAAACTTAACTCATAGCCTGCCATGAGGGTGCATGCACACTATCGTTATAGTGCTTTGTACATGCGAGCAAGGCATTGCTATGCTGCCATGTGCGTGCGCGCACACTTCCGTAGTAGCAGTTATTGTTCATGCTCATTGGACTGTGCTATGTGTTTTGCACTCGCTATTCATAGAACCATCGCGTTAATCAGATTATCTCAATATAAACTTGGCACTCCGTGACTTAGGGCTTGGCACAATGGGGATTAGCCCTGTGGCATGATAAGCCCTCAGTATATCCGTCACGTGATCACTACATGGTGGCACATGGTGGAGATAATTTGTGTGATGTGTGTTGGATATGAAGAGGTAAATTTGAAATATTTGTTTTCGTTTGTATGTCTCTTCTTCAGCTCACCCCAAGACGAAGCTCCTATTTTACCATGGGGGAATGGCCGGAGTCTATGAAGCGATGCATTTCAAGAAGCCCATGGTCCTCCTTCCCCTATTTGCCGACCAGCCTGGCATAGGTGCTCGAATCGAGAAGAAGGGAATGGGGGTTGTCCTGTCGAAATCCTCTCTTTCGGTCGAGGCAATCACAACAGCAATTCGGCTAGTCCTTACAGATCCTAGGTAAAGTAAAGTCTAATTAATGAGCTTATTCCATCTTGTAATGCGTGAGAAATCGTGGATATTTCGAGGTTTATTGGTTATTCCTTTGCTGCCCTTTATATAAGTTCTCAAAACGTAAAGCGTTAATAGGCTAATACCAGGCTAATACTGCCTACATAATTATGTATCATTAACTCAGCCGATATGGATGTTTAGAGCCTATATTTAAATTGTGTACTGTGCATTATTGAGGTAAACAAAATACTATTTATTCATGTTCTCCCCAGGATTCCTCCCCTCCCCTCAATTCATAATTTTTCGTTTTCTCATCAGTTACAAAACCAACGTGGAGAAGTATGGATCCATCAGTAAGGATACTATCGTGAGCCCGATGGAAACCGCCATGTTTTGGATAGAACATATCAACAAATTTGGCGGCTCGCATCTCAAATCACGAGCTGGGGAGCTGAACTTCATCACTCTCAACTCACTCGACGTAGTAGCTTTCATCCTCATCATCGTCCTACTAGGGTTGTATTTAGACTATGTGATCCTTCGTTCATGTTATCGTTTTATGTGCGGTAGGAAAACTGTGAAAACTAAATCAGATTAACTATTATAGAAAACGATGCACGAGAATATTATAGAAATATACCTTGTTGTCTCGTTAGACAAGACACTGTCATTTTTTTAGAGACGGAAATGTAAATTTGAAATTGATTTTATGTTATATGATTTGTGAATTATTGTCAAGAAGCCAATTAAGACAAGAAGAGTTTTACGTTTAGATTACAGAGTAGAATTTATGGACACCATGCAAAATGTATTAGATTATAATCATACATCGAGGAGAATTCAAGACAGATGACGCGATTACACTTTAGTCATGAGCTGAAAATACACATCTTTTGACAACGGAGAAACATACAGGTCAGTATTTCTTCGGAATATATTTGTGGATGTATAATCAACGGACATAATGTGAAAAAGAATGAATCTTGAACCTTGATCATTGGGTATATGCAGTAGCTATTTAGGCTCATTATGCTTGTCCTTTTTAGAAAAAGAATTGGTATGTGACGTAATTGATTCGATCAATAATTATTTATATAATGATGATTTTGAAAAGAAAACTATGTGAGATAAAGTCTGCAATATAAAATGTGTATCTGTGTGAATGAATGTAATTATTGGTACGGGTTTCTCTGCTCCCTTTCAACCACACGCACACGCACACGCACACGCACGTAAACAATCTCATAGTAACGCATCGTCAGATTAGCTGTGGAGCAGAACTCGATATACATGAAGCTTTTATCTTTGCTGTCATACTAATCAAGTTATATGCTCACTTTCTGATTCTTCGTTACCGCTGTTTAGGCAGATACAAGAAAATCAAATCGAAATCAGACTGAAACATTAAAACATTTCGCATTTACGACACTGAGTCGGAAACATACAGTTCAGAGTGGAGAGTATTTGTAATCCGACAAAATTTGATCTGAATCTGTTATGAACAAAACAACTTCAAAAACATTTAGCTGAAGGTCTGACTACATAATGATTTGCTCATTTTGTATGAGCTAGCGCAATGCCACGATATTGATTTAACTGACTAAATTGCGATCCACTGTGTTCGTAGGAACAAGTAATAAATGGCTTGATTAGTTTTCATGCAAAACATACTTGCTCAATGGGTGTGCATAACTTATGTTTGTCTATCTTACCATCAAGTAATTAATAATGAGACTATGTTTAAATTTGTGACAATATCTAAAGCAATGCACGTTGATATTTTAATAAAGTTTTCATAGCGGAATATAGGAAATACTAATTTTCTGTCGGGAATAATTTCATTATATTCATTAATGTAACATTCTACATAATTATATTGTGTACTTTAATATCAATGTAGGTTAAGGAAAAAATACCATTTTTTTTACCACTGTTTCGTAATATTTGTATTCGCGTGCGATAAGCAATTTGCATGTTTTAATTGAAAGAATAGGTATACCATTAAAACATACGTGCACAACGGAATCTTTTTTAACTAAGGGACTCTGAATCTTTTTGCTTTTAGAGCCATTGATAAGAAGAGTTTGGCCAATCCGGTTAGAATTGGGCACGATTTGGCGATTATTGCTTTGTTGGGCCAGCATAAAACAATTTGGCCAAACTCTGTGTGTAGCTGGCTATGTTCAGAGCCATCTTTACACAGAGTTTAGTCAATTCTCGCTACCCTAAATAGGTACGAAAATCTCGAAATTCGCGAGACGAGGTAATTTTCACTCTCTCGGGTCGTCACTACAACTTCCGGTATAGAGTCCCATCCCGCTGGCGCTAGCGCCTGTGTTCGCTGTGCAGAGTTTTCACGCACGCTAAAATCGATGCCAATCAGTGTAATTTGTACAGATTATAATATGCAATGGAAAGCTTCGGGCAGAATTAGTGACTTTAGCACAAAAGGCCGTTAAACTCTACCGTGAAAGAGAGGGTTGTGATCACGAACGCCTGCATAGGAAGCTGTAATGTCGAAAAGCTATCCCATAATGCAATGCGCGTTTTCAGGATTTTCCCCGGATCTCGGCAGAATCGCTATTTGGGGTAGCGAGAATTTGATTTCACTGGGTCACAACATGGCGTATAATCTTTTGTTTTGTGCTTGCCCGACAAAGCAGTAGTCGCCACATTGTGTCCAACTCGAACATGGTTGGCCAAACTCTCCTAATCAATGGCACTGGCTCTGTTACTATTATAGCGCCCTCTCAAATCTCTCCGATTCACATAATACGCTGTTTCGTGAATAGAAACGGGAATCCATGTAATAACACAACCAGAGAGACCGATCAGTTTCCAATGTATATAATCACTTGTGATTCGGACAGAGGTATTCACAATCGCCTTTCATACACCATCTCGCCAAATGTTTTGAGGGTGGCATGGGTACTGTGATGAAGCAAGAGAGAGGAGAACTCCTAAACCTCTGCGCAAGACTATGTCTTTCTCCTCAGATACCAGTAAGTAAATGATATTTTTTCTGTATTTTCTTTTCTCCATGAATATCAGAAATGAATTATTAATTTGTTAGTTTTCTGTTAACTCAACAGTTCAACAATACTTGTATCTTGAGAAGCCAATTTTATTTATGTCATAAATGTAAACTACCTTGAATATATATTTGTTAATTTGTTTCAAATGGAAATCAATCAAATCCCGGCCCCACTCAGTGTTATTTAGGGTACGCGTATGCTCGTTCCCTCTTTTTGAAAGCACCCCTATCTGAGGACTGCCAACATTTCTGAACCCCCTTTCGCGGGCTTTTCGCGGGCTCTTCCTGCCTTGGAGACCCCCCTAAATACGGAAAAGTGCTCAATGTACCCCCCTAAATTCGGAATAATTTCTCAGAAGTCCAAAGAGATGAGAGAAAAAAAGAAAAACACCCCCTTTTAAAAGAAATCTCCGGGTGAAAAGTCAAGGGTCAGGGCCGGACTTTGTCGCACGAAAAGTACCCCTTTACCGGACATTTTGGTAACACGCATGCGGTCATTCCGACCCCGGAGTGGGAGGGGGGGGGGGGGCGGGATCCCTGTGGAGGGAAAAATATGCAGAAAAACAAGTAAGTAAATACAAATTATATTCGTATAATCTATATTTTTTAAGTATACTGATTGATTGATTTTGATTTATTTATTTCTTCTTGATCTTTTTCCAAAATTACAAACTTATTACAACATACATCATGATGATAAACAAATTATAATATTTAATACATCATCAACATTAAGCACTTACTTTGTTATACTAGATAATCCTAAAGAAGGATTGCCACATAAGCTAAGCTTGAAGGCGTGGTCATCTTTTTGATACAAAACTTAATGTCTCCTTCAGAAAAAATAAGGATGTTTGGGATAAGAGTACAAAAATGCATCCAGAAAAAAAAAATGGCAAATGTGAATTTTCACAGAAATGGAGGGGTTGATTTGAAGTAGTTTTAATTGAATTTCAAAGGCTGTATTGCTCTCGGAGTGTTTGATGAAGAAAAAAATGCGATACATATACACATGAAAGCCTTTTACTAACATGATCAAAATTAGTATGATCGTATTTTCTTATAAGATACTAGTCTTTGTTGAATAGTACAAATTTATGCTTGATATTCTTATTTCGGCCATGGTGAGGAACATTATAGATAACAGTATAGATAGAATGAAGTTATAAAATCCTTGAATATTGATTCGACAACTTGGCCTACAAACGGTGTGAACAGGTCGAATACGCATTATGTTCAATCTCAATATGGCGACAATCTCATTTGAATAGAGGCTTTAGCGCGAACAATACATACCGATGCTTTCATTGCCAAACCGACAGGTGCTTTTAGTTTCCATGGTAACAATTCTCTCTCATCCATGCCCATTTTATGACAAGAATCTGTACAAAGACGTTTCCTGTGTTTTCTACTTGTTTTTAATTTCTCGCTTTTATTGAATTTTACTAGCTGATGGTAACAGAATGCATACAACTACGATATAAAAAATAAAATAAAAACAATGTATTGAAGCCAAATTATATTATAGTGAGTTGTGTCCTATATGGTATGCATGTACCAGTTCAGGTTCGTTGGCTAACTGCTAATATATTGATATAGTGCGAGTTCTATGGAACATATACCTAATGCATATACCTAATGTATTTGCCCTAGCTCCCTAAAGTCTAGAGATATTTCAGGACTTCTATACATTTTGTATTATTTAAAAGAAAGAGGGAAAGAAAGAACAATAGAAAAAACGGAAGAGGAAATGGAGAAGAGGTGAAAGAAAAAGGAGAAGAAGAAGAAGAAGAAGTAGAAAAAATGAAATTCTTAACTTTACGTCATTATCAGGAGCGGTTTTGGAAGATTTAAAAAAAAAAAGTTATAATCGACATTTTTGGGGTGGGAGCTTGAGCCCTGGACTTCTCTCCAAAACCGCTAATTGTCACTTTTCTTTTATTTACATATATGTTCTGAGGAAACTATACCTTTCAGTCTTCAGTGTTAAGGTGAAAGTCGTCATAAATATTTAATTATTATCTACACTTCGAATACTAAAAACTATCTACGCTGTAAATAACTAATGGAACCTATACGCTATTCAATATTTATGACGGTTGAATTGGGGATAAATCCATTGCAGTATTTTTGGAAAAACATGTTTAAAAATTCAATGATTCAAGAGAATCCTTGAATTGAAGAGGATTTTATCTTCAGCTGTTTATCAATCAGATGATGGAGGCTGAAGTGCGAGTTGGATTTTAAAGGTGAAATCTTAAACAATTGACGAATCCCTTATAATAGATATTTTCCTCTCTGTTATTTTTGTTTTTATCTTGCTACACTTGAACTACTTACGTGGCGTGATAGTTTGCAAAATTCTTTAATTAAAAGCTTTGGGGAATTCATACAAAAACACCAAAAATCGCAATCCTAGGTGACAAATAATTTTTTTGATTAGCTTTATCTCATTTAAAGTACAATTTCTTGCTGAAGGGGCGGAATTTAAAAGTAAAGTAAGTCATCTACGTCATATTTGTTTTTCTCGTAACAGTATGAAACATGATGAGGTCTATTATATGAAACCGTTGTAAAGGGGCACTGGCCAGTTTTAGGGAAGGGGTGGAGGGGGAGGGGGATGGCTTGAGTCTTGTCAGGTTGATGGAGTACGAGGGAGCGAAGCGATCAGGCATGGAAAGATGTGAATGGGTGAGGGGTCGTATCATTCATTGTTTTACCGTTCATTTCCCCCTCTCTCAATTTCTTATTCTAGTTTCTCTCGTTCCAATTTTGCCATTCCCATTGGATGGGGCTCGTGTCCCCTGTTTCCCCGTATATTTTGTGAGTTGGTCAGCTCTTTTTGTCTTCGCCCACAAACTGATTCAGACGGGCCCCCGCTCGAGACTGAGTCACGTCTTTCAGATGGTGACGTTAAGGGTCGGTCCCCAGACGTAAATAATAATATATGATTGATACACGTCTGTGAAACCCAAGTACAAATCTACACCCCTGTATTAAAGACAAATGATCCTTATGAAATTATTGACCCTTTAAATCTTGTTGACATTGCTGTTAAGCACGATAACACATGTACAGACGTCTATGTACTATCTCGATCATTTTGGGCGGGAATCATGATGAGAATTATAATCATCTCTGATTTTTTTTTAATAGTCAGTTACACCTTTCTCCCCCGTAATTTTTCCACCTCTGTTTTGTCAACTGCCATGTCTGTATCTACCCATGGTCTGCACCTTGAACCGACTTTAGCGTAAATATCATTGTCTTGTTTTGAAATTCTAACTTCCCTTTGATTATTTTTCGATTACCTCCCTCATAGTTGTTACTCATATCATTTACTTGTGTCGGAGGACTTGGTACTGCACATACTGTTCAATGCTACCACATCTTCCTTTTATTCACGCGAAGTCAATGGAAAGTTGTGTCGTCTGCCCAACACAATGTTTGGAGGAGAGGAAGGAGAGAGAGAGAGAGAGAGAGAGAGAGAGAGAGAGAGAGAGAAGGTGAGGAAACAAAGAAAAGAATATAGAGAGACAAAGAGAGAAGGAAAGACAGAAAGAAATTAAGAGGGAGAGAGTGAGAGAGAGAGATTCGAAGATAGTGTGCGCGCCCGTGTATGTGGGTGTGTGTATACATGTGGTGTGTGTGTGTGTGTGTGTGTGTGTGTGTGGGTTTGTTTGTTTTTTTTGGAGGGGGGGGGGGTTGGTTTGATGTATACGTACATGGTGTGGGGTATATTATGAGCGTGGGGAGGGGAGTGAGCTACGCAGATAAAATATTTATTTTGTC